GCTCAGAAACAGAAAAACGTTTCCTTGGTGAAACGAGTGAACGATCGATCGCAAAATAAATCGAAAATAGAAGAATACATTTTTTTCGTTCGACGTTTCCTTTTCGAGATAATCGAATTTGAAAATCTGTTGCGATACGCATAGACTCCAAAACGATTTGGCTAGCGGGTCTGTGTATTACATTGCGTTTCTACTTACTATCGTGACGAATAGGTATAATGTTTTTCCGAACTATAGTGACTTTAGGTGTGACCCTCTCAGTTGGTGTGCTGTGTGATCCCATTGAAGGTACAAGCCACTAAATATGTCTTTTGCTACTTCTTCAGGGCTGTACTTATTTGGTCATATTCACTTTCTTTTACTACAAACCTGACAGATTTTTTGTACAACTTATTACAAAATTATACCTTTTGAGCAAGTCCGTAACAAGTTTGTATAATATCTCGTATCTCATTATTAATAATGGTATCACACTCGATGGATAACATGTAACTTGTTATATAACACAAAAAATGTTGTATAACATTTTTTTTCTATTCTTCTAACAAGTTTTATAACTTTGATATATTACGTGTTACGCTATATGTATAGTGTAGACGCAGCTTAACACGTTGACTGCTACAGTGAGAAAGGCCGTACGTAGCCGGACACGCTTTATTTCGTTTTCAACTCATAAATCGTATCAAACATACATATGCGTTCAATTAATAGAGGTTATTGGTCCTGTTTTAAATTATACCGCGATATTAATTTTACGCAATAATTTTGTCCCAATATTTACATAATCCAGTCTCTTTGGAATGTACGAATCACCCATATTTGGCTGACAAAATACCGATCAAAGTATGAATTTTGCAAATTCGATGTCCTCGAAAACGAAACATCAAACGAACAAACTGTTTTAGCATTTTCCCTTACGATAGATCACCAACAACGAACATTGAAGTCGAACACAGTCAATCGGAGATCCCTCAGTTAATTATACCCAAAGTCATTTCGTTCCAACGGTACGCGAAAGAACTAGAACGGGAAGGGAAAAAAAACGTGTAACACATTAATTTATTTCAATCTCGCTAAAGTTTTAACCAAGGTGGATTTCAGAGGCATCGGTTCACAGGGCACTCGGTCTCTTTTAAACCCCCCCCCCCCTGGTTCCCTGTCCGTTCCGGTCGCATCCCTTTCCGACTTCGCACCCCTTACCCCACGGTGGCGGCGTCGACCGAAATTTTGAACATTAGTTTGCGAACCATTTAGCACAACTACTCGGTCCCCGGGAGCGTAGTTCGAATCACGGGCGCATACATCGTCCGTGCAGCTTAAACCGCAATGCTTAGTGCCGTGCTCCCTACCGCCCACGCGTAGTACAGTCATTGTGCATTATGCTCTTCGCGGGGTCTTAGTGTGCCTTCTACCCCCCCCCCACAATTCCACCAGCGTGTCTAACGGCGTTTCCCCTCCTCGAATCACGTCGCGGAGATAATTGGTGGAAAGAGGGCGGGGGGGAGGGGAAAAACGCAATTACACGGCTTTGAACGATCGTCGCGAGACGAATCGAGGCAACTTCGCGGGGGGGGGGGATCCACGTTCCCCGCGCTCATGTGTGGAATTCCATGGATGGGGTACGACCATAGACATATAAGAATAGACTGCGCATCTCTCTGAAAACGGGCGTTGCATGTTTTAGAAAGAAATGTAGATAGTTTTCGGACAACTTGTAAAGGTGGGATAAAGTATACAGGATGTCTCGTCGGCTAACTTGATCACCTCGAATAATGATTTAACGGTATACTTTATGAAAATTTTGGGCCGTCGAACTTAAATGGCATCAAGGGGCACATCTTATAAGGTACGTAATCTTTTTGTGGGTGGAGGCGTTTCAGAGATTTCAAGGTCTCCTTGACTTTTTTTTAATGGAATGAACTATTTGTGGTACCATAGATTGGTAGAGTATCAAATTCTGAGTACAAATGTGTTGACTTTCATACGTTCTAAAGCTAATAGTTAACGAGATGTTTACAAAATAATTTTGAATACGTACATACTTACTATCTGGAAGATATAGGTGGTCAAACCCGATGCCCCTCAGCTTCAATACAGCGATTTCAATACAGTAATTATTTTACCCCTTGCTCCCCTGCTTGACCTAACCCAGACCTACACCCATGGAGCACTGTTGCCAGAAATAGGAAAAATATAGCCGCATAGGGACAAACAGTATATATCACATTATTATACACTACGTGGCGTAACTATAAAACCACATTAAAATTTTCAATCCTTATATATTGTGGTTAAAATAAAAATAATGTACTTTTTTTTTAACGAATATAATCTATCCTTTTCTGGAGAAACATTATTTCTGAAAACGATTTCAGATATGACATACTTGGTTCGTTTTTATTTCAACCATAGTATATAAGAATTGAACAATTTTAGGGTGGTTTTATAGTTATGCTACGGCAGTGTGTTATCTTCGTGATATTTTATTCCTCCTATCACATAAAGTTGACTATCCTTCCAAATACCTAGTACGATCATTCGTGTCCAACAAATATAAACGTCACCCATATACAGATGACGCAGCCGGTGGGAAACTTTTTGTGGTACCCGAATTTAGATGACATGGCAGTCAACGTGTTAACACGTTTGCGGCCGATTTTTTGCCTATAACCTGATACCTCTGCCTGTGTGTCCGGGGTATACGTCCCTAGAGCAGAATTAGAATAAGGTAGTAGTGATAAGTGGTGATAAATATAGAAACAAAATAGGAGCTGTTAAGTGAGGGTCGATTAAATTTACTGCATTTGCTGTGCAGTTTATAGTAGTCGTTCAATATTTTGGAGCACTATATAAATGTTTCCTTAACACTAAACCTACCAAACCGTTTAAAAAGGCAGGAGTTAGAACGGCAAAACAGGACATTTGACCGGTCGTGCTAGGTTTACTGTTAACACGTTGACTGCCACAGATTTTACTATTATGGCAGTATCATAATATTAATTCTCGCACCTGTAAACTTTTCATCTCATTCATTAAAAACAACAATTTGCCATTAAAATGTAATTAAACAATTTCAAGGCACTGTTTGTTCAGATAATTGTATCATACTTAACCCAAAAAAACACTGATTTCGAACAAATATAAAGTCTATAATAATAATCGAACTGCGCTGAATTCATGATAATTTGTCCCGTCGTCATGAAACCTCGTGTACTCTTCGAAACTGGACATTTTATAAATTCAGGGACTGAGTATCCTCGATTACCTGGATCGTTGTACAATTTACCACTCATGCTATGTATCTGTTGTTTCAAATATGTACCAGGTTAAATTCTCCGCGATGAATCGAGCGCGGCACCGGCAATCGCAACCGTTAATTCTTTCGAAAATATGTACAACGGCGACCCTCCAATTAACCAGCGCGCAGCTTCGTTTCAATGCGACAAAAGGAGCGCGATTGTATGCCCGGCGTAATCGTCTCACGGCGACATTTACGTTGCGTAATTGAAGTCAGAAACAACCGAGAAATATTCACCGGCGCTACCCCCAAGGCGGTTGTTGTCTCCCAATCGTGAGAAAAAGCGAATTCTTCGGCGCTTATTTCGTCCACGGTAGTATCATTAAATCCCGGTCCGCGATCTACAAGTGCTCGGATACTTGTCGGGAAATTAGTCGAAGAGCATAAATTTCCCCGAAAAATCACGTTCCATCAATTTACGGTTCTGCTGAATTTCTCTTAAACGTTCGTGAAAAAAAGTTTGTTAACCCTCGTCTTGTGAATGCAGGGTCATTTTGACCCATCTACATATACATGTATAACCATTGTCGTATTCTTTGTGGGTATATATAAATGTAATAGATGAACTTGGAAATATACCTAAAATGTTATGCATAATTTCTTTTTGAAACCTACGTACAAGAGAAATTTTGCTATGAGTCAAAATGACCCTGAATTCGTCTGCCGTGTCCATCCCAGACCATTCGACCATCATCGATTTTTGGTGCATTTGTTCAGTGTCCTATCAATCCGAGGCAAAACATTGTTTTTCAACTTGGTGGTACAATTGTTCACTATTGTAATGTAAAACAATACCATTTTTGTTTTCATTGTCATGCAATTTTATTCGATGAATATATATGCAATAGTTAATTGAATAGTATATTAGGATTGAATAAAATTCGATTTAAAAATTTCCCGATAAATTCGACAAATACAACAATGTATTCTATTAATTTACAACGCGAAGTCTATTGCATCTTCGAAATATTGCACTCATAATCATCGTGTATTTCAATCAAAATCCAAACAATAGGAACCGCATGAATTTCACAAAAGTGAACTTTTGATCGTTAAGTTGAGTTAGAAGTAACTTCCAGCTCAAATGGGAGGGCTTCAACATTAGTAACAATTAGAGCGGCAACGTTTATGCCAGTTCGCATTTTACACGTTGATTTACAAGAGTAGAAAGTAAATGAAGTGTTTCATCCTCTAGTAGTACTTTCATAGAATGCAAAAGAAAACAGAATTTTTCTTAATCATTATTAAGAATTTCACTTTATTATGCTTATATGTAGCATAAATGATTAAAATTCCGAATCCACTAATAATAACAAATTCTTAAAGTTGACACTCATTCTTAAATTTAAGGATAATAAAAAAGCAACCACTAGACGAACATTTATCATCAATGATTGCCGATAGAAACAAGCTTAAAAAGAGGAAAAACGTTCATAAAAATCACATTTTCACACACTGATCGATACGATCAAGACGACAAATAACAATCGATTTCCCTATATCATATCAAATTGCCAATAAACCAAATCAATCAAACTTTATTCAAGTCTCTTCTTTTATTAACTTTTCGAAAATTCATGTTTTCTGTATATCCGTAAATCACGATCCAACCCAATGATTACTTTCTTAACAACATTTTTTCGCCCAGGTATAGTAAAGTGTGTTTAAAGAATATAAAAGAAAAAGAATGGGAAACACTTACCGCGCGCACACGCGTCACGAAGTTTTCGACAATGGACCGTGTCAGCCAATGACGCGATGATCTGAGGGCATAACTGTTGCTCTTCTTGCGGATGACGATCGGACCGAGCGCAGAGCGACGCCGAGGGTGATTCGCGTGCCGTGTCAGCGGACAGACGATGCGCGACTGTGCGTCGAACACCCTCGCGATCTCCCTTTTATAGGGGAGACGCGTCCTCCCGTACATCGACTCACGCTACTTGTCTGCCCCCCCCCCTCCCCCCCTTCTAAATGTGCATTTTGGAAAAAGGCGGCCAATAGTCTTCGCAAAATTGCATTCCATCAGACGCAATCGCGCACGTGGTTATGCGAATTCCAGTTTTCATTAACACGGATCATATGATACTATACTATTCACGGTGCCATACTGATTTTTAACTTTCGTGTACACTCTCAGGAACCTGTGCACTTGGTACGTCGAGATGAAGACAATTCTATGAATGTTTTTTGTTTTTGTAATACTAAAATGTACATTGTATGTATAGGGAAAAATTAATAATGGGAACGAGAGCACACTTTTGCAACCCTTTGTGGTATTTCAGTGAGTAATTGAGAAGACTGTTCGAAATAGTCATGATAGAATGTTGGAACACTGAAGGTCCTCCGCTATGGGGATGGAGATTTAATTTATTAATAGGAAACGACCCTTCGGGTACATGTTCAAAATATTCGTAACATAATATTTAAATGGGATTCTAGTTTTTTTAAAGTGTTTTGTGAAACCCATTACAATACGAAATATTCCAACATTGTTTTGATTAGAGAATCATGCATGAATGTATTTAGATCTGTGCACTGAGAAATTAAAAAGAAGGTTGAAAATTAAAGGATCAAGAGGAAGATAATTAATTATTTATCAATTCAGTTCAATAGGAAAAATGATTTTATTTTAAACTTACTTTTACTTTAACGTACGTACAAATTATGTTTAAGAAAAATTATTGGTTTGATTATGGTAACTTTCGTTTGGCTGGTTCTTCGTGTACCCTAACTTGAAGCGTCGAACGGGGTCCACATTTCCACACGTTGCCGTCCTTATCAAGTATACTTGCACTCGCTGTGACTTGATACTGCCCGCCCCCTGTGTTGGAGTTGTTGTTTAAATTACCGGTGCTGCTTGCGCATGTCGTTGTTCCCGTTCCCGGGCTTCCCAGTGAAAGCAGAAATTCGCAGGCAAAAAAATCGCGATGCGGAGTAACTGTTTGTTGCAGCTCATTCGAGTTGGAATCCTAATGTTAGAAACATTTTTGTAGACATGTAACAAAATGGTCTTACTGATTCAGTATATTTTTTTTAAATAACAAATAATAAACAAATGTCTTGTGTATTTGGACTTACAGAAATTAAAGTGAATGAAAGAGGCAGTAATATTTGAATACTCTTTGAAATTTTCATATAAATTACTTTTCCGAATCTTTAATAGCTTTTCAAGAACATAGTTACCCAGATTCTCACCTTTTGATCCGAATTGATCTTTGACGGTGGAGTTGTAGAGATAGAAATGCAAACAGCAGCAACGGATCGGTAAAGGGAAGCGCGACGACCATGCCGCAGTACTCCCTCAACTTTGAGCGCCAATTGGCTACCTTGAGGTACGGACACAGGTTCTCCAAGTACACGGGGTTGTGGTGAGACAGACAACTTCACGCTAGTTGCTTGCAAAGCTTGGAAGTAATACCTAGGTATTGGTAATCTCATTTTCCGTCCAGCCAGCAACATCACTTGTGAGATTAAACAGTTCACCCTGGAATGGCTGATGGCCGCATTTTTCCCTTCGGCAATCCAGGGTGGCGCCAGGCGTCGCAGCTCTGTACAGCAACGAGCCAACTGTCGCATCTCTACAGTGTCTCCGAAGTCAAAGTTTACTTCACTCTGATGATACGTACAAATACCTGATCCGCCACAAACACGTTCAACGCTATTTGCCAACAAACGACACATTTCTTGCAATCTGTATATAATAAGTAAAGGAAGGGCATATTGAAACTAGTAAATATCCATTTATATACATTTTGCTAAAGGATACGCTTTTATATTTGCCAACGAACCGGGATCAGCATCGAAAGCCGATTGATAAAGTTTCTGATAGTTTTCTGCGCAGTGTTTCAATTCCTGGGCCGATTTCCTCAACTAAAAAATGTATTATTTTGATAATGGTAATAGCATAGTAGTTTATATTAATTATTAGAAAAACCCAAGGTACCTGATGAGTGACACGACCATAACGCTGAAGATCATCTTTCGTCGCAAGTACTACTGTAACGGCGATGGCTGGTGGTGGGGCTGTACAAAGAGATCTGGACATAAACATATTTATTAATTTATGTATTTTATATATACAGACGTACACTACGTTTTATATGTGTAACTTATATAGTACCTGCACGAATGTAAAAGTTGAACGGTAGCCTGAAGAAATTCACAACGGAGTTTTGAATATTCACTAGCAAATTGTAAACTTCGTAAAGGCGTACTAGCAGCCTTCAATGATGCGCATGCACTAGCATAACGAGCAATAGCTCCGTTTAATTTTTCTACTATATAAACTTTCGCTTTGCTCTCCGTTTCTTCTGCCGTTTCCCTGTAAAAATGAAAACATGAAAAATCAAGATACATTTACAATACAGTTAACAAATGTACAAGTTATACGAACATAAGATGGCTTTCAGCTTTCGTCACTAATTCTAGACCAGATAACCAGAAGTGTAATTGTTCGGACGCAACTGTTTCTTTTAAGCTTCTAAATATTTGAGTTGCTATTGTATGATGGCCATATCTCGCAGCACTACGTGCAATACGGTACTTAGCCCAACCATCTACATTTTTAATCACTTCTTCCACCGCTTTCGTACATTCTGTGTTCCATTCATAGCCCCCGGCTACCATTTGAAAAAGTAGTGTACATAACATCACCTTTAAAAGAAATATCATATTCATCTTATTTGATCATATTCTTTTATCATTTTGTTTTTTATGTTCATTTTGTAATTTTACCTTTGCGTGTACATGCGAAGTGTGTGTAAGCTTCGCCAATATATCTGGTAAAAGTGAAAATAATGTATTTTCTCCTAAACTTCCAATGGCCCCTAAAGCTTCGCACAAAGCAACTGCCTGCTTTTCACTTTGACTACTTTCTGTATTGACATTGAAGAGTGTACCACCAATCGCATCAACGAATACTGAGCAATGACTGGGCTGTGCTCGACACAACTTCGCCGTTGAACGTAGACAAACTTTCAACTGCCGTAAATATTTATCATCCAGGGCTAGTAATACGATTAAAGATTCGAGGCAAGATACAACGTCTTGTATTCCATAGGCTGGTAAACCTTCTTCGTAACTGTAAGTGAGAACTTCACACACGAGGCACATAGTAACCGACTTTTTTTCATAATGATAGAATCGAGTACATACCAGTAACATGCAACTCTGGATAAAATCGTAATTGCTTTTACAGCCACGAGAGGATCAGAAGAGTAACAAGCATTCACGCATAAAGACAACAAAGGATTTCCTTCTTCTCTATTTGCATCGCATGTTACTGCACTCTGACTAAGCACCTGGATCAGATATTTTAAAAAGTTTATTGTAGACTTTTGGAAGTTAGAAACAATTTTAATTGATCAATGTTTCATAAATATTGACCTCTATCACGTCCAGTGTTCGAATAAGAAGATCTTTGTTTCCGGCACCATCTTGTAGAAGAGTCGTAGTACTCTCTGTAATATCAGATTCGATAAATATCTTCCTTTATAATGCAAAACTATATACTTGTTATATTTACCTATTAAATTATTAAGGGCACCTTGTGGCCACAGATGTGCTCCTTTTCTTGCCAGAATATGTAACAGATGTAATGCATGACGCTTAATAGATAATCTTGGATCATCTTGTAAATAACGTAACAAAAGTACAACTTGCTGTGGAATATCAATTAATGTTGCCGAAGCTAATGTACTCAAAGCACTTAAGGTAACTCTAACAAATTCAACTGCTGGATAATTAGCAAGAAGCTCCATGCATAGTTCATTTACCTATAATCAAATTAATATTTAATATTTTTGAAATACATAGCCTTCATAATATTTGCCTACCATTGAAGCTGTGTAACTGTCGTGATGCATATATTGTAAAATAGGTATAAGTTGCAACTTCATAGATGCTGGTGTTGCTTGACCTCTGATCATATCAGATATTTTACTGCACATAGACACAGCAAACAGTTTAGACTGTGCTGCAAACATTTGTGCTGCATATATTGCTGCTTCAACTTCAACTGAATCATGGGAATCCAATGATCTTCTTATACTATGATGAACCTTAAAAAATTATTTACTCTTTCAGTTTGAAATTAATACATATTATACAATACAGAGTGATTCATTAGATTATGTTTTACCTGTTGTCTTTCTGGAATGATTCCAGCTACACTACCTAATGTTCTCAGTGTTAAAGCCCTAGCAACTGGATCATTGGAATGTATCACACTATAAATACGTCTTACAAATTCATCAACATTTAGAATCTTGTCTAAGTGCTTTTCACTTTGTTGGCATACTCTGAGCACCCAGACACGTAAAAAATTACTACCAGTTCGAAATACTTCAGCTAATTTTAGCAAAGAAGAATTGATCAGTATAGGGAAAGGATATTTCTCGAATAATCGGGGGAAACGTACTATTGCTTCACATTGTTCTCCAATTTTTGAGGAACGTAAACCTAAAAGAATGCTTTACATGAAAATATTTATTATAAATAGAATTGGTATTAGAACATAATAAAATCTAGTGAAAAATATAAACACACCTTTATCTAACTCTATGAGAGCTGTATTTGCATCTTGTTCTGGTTCACCAAGCCCAGTATCGTTAAACGCATTCATTCGCATTCCAATCATTTTCCTTAGCGTACTAGATACATTAAATAAAAACGAAATTAATTACTCTCCAGGATCGTCAAAAAACCTTTCGGTATCTCCATTGACGATCAAAATACTTATTCACCGGTGTCTAAACAACACGATAATTCCATCCAATTTCGCTAAAAAAATGTGGTACTAATAGTTTAGTAGCTTGAACATTTCATCGTAGAGGACGCAACAGGCCACTTCTATGTAGCGGAAATTGAATTACATTATACCACCGACTCGGTATACAATAGACCTATCATCCAATGCTTTTCTCTGTCCCACGTTCATAGGGCTACGAAACCTGTTACCATTTTAGTGTCAATATCCGACATTACCGATAAAACATGAATTCTAAGTATTATCACAGACGAGATATATGAATAAACCTACATGCAATGTAATTTTCTGTCCCATGCTTCGAGGGCGTCAGAAGACCGAAAAATAGTTGACGCCGAATATTAGTGTTTCTTAACAATTTATATCTTAAACAATTGCTCCCATCGCACCGTTTATATTTAATGAGATATTCGCAAATGAAAAAGCAAAAATTTGTTTGCAAAATAGATAATAAATGGTATTTTTACACAAATATTATGGTACCAAAAAATTGCTCCCAATCTGTTTTATAATAATCCATAATCAGATATCTCAATAACAACTTATTAACGAGGAGCAATTGAAATAATGTTGTTGCATACAGGTTAGGTATTACATCATACGTAGGCGTTCGTTTATTGTAGCCTTCGGAGCTGTAGAGGGCCATAATTCCAGGAATATTGCAATATCTCATTAAATATAAACGGTGCGATGGGAGCAATTTTAGATTCGGAAAGAGCAAATCGGGAACAATTTTTTAAGATATAAATCGTTAAGAAACAGTAATATTCGGCGCCAACTATTTTCCGATATATATTACACCGTCGGAAAGGATATGTATATAGTAATCGTAATTTCGGTGCATTTTCTGTACTTTTCATTGTAGGTCATTAAGTATCATGGCATGGCCCGGTATAAAAAGAAGCTCTCATTTTAATTTGCGATTCTCCCTAGATTTAAAACAATTAATTAGTAATTGATGTACTATTTTAGAAAATACAATTCATTGTTTATTTTCGAATAAAAATTGTATTGTTATAATCTTTTATGAAATATTTCATACTAACTGTATTCTACAAGAATCTACATTTTCCTTATTGGGTGCGTTCATATTTCATTGTTTTAATCGGTTTAATCGCAATTTTTCATGCTTTTGTAATACAGAATTTGATATCCGGAGAAGTTGAGAAACACTGACACATCGAACGCGTATCTCTTGCGAATAGAAGTCTATGTTCACGTCAGTGCAGTTGACAATTAAACTTCGGCAAGTGCGGGCGTTACATTTCTACATTCAAGGAAAAGGAGGGAACACTATACCACGGTTATATTTACAAAATAACCGGTTCGATAAAAACGTAATAAGTGGAGATAAGTTACATTCAACGGGCAGAATAATGGTGGATTACAGCAAATGGAATAATATCGAGGTAACAACCTCAATTTTGGTCCAGTATACTTATGGAATATTCTAGAGTGATAGCAGATTTTCGCAGAAACTTTTTTCTCATTAATCTTTTAGGAAAATTCAATGTGAGCAGAAGAAATATTGCGATTATTCTATAATAAGCGAGTTTCATCCATATTTATTGATAACAAAATATGTAAACAATTATTTTTAGTTTTAAACTATGTCAATATTTGATTCTTATCATAATAGAGTTTGTTAACACTATAATCATTTCTATTTATTTAAGTAAACTACGGATATTTATATAAGTACAGTTTTTTATGAACTAAATTATAAAAACTAGAATTAAAATAATTTGTTAAATGTATTAGGCATCAAACGAGATGAAAACTTCATTACACTTTGTTAAACTTTATTTGATAATTTGTTGCACAGAGTTGGTGACAATTATATGTACTTATATAGTAACTACATAGAATCTGTAATCTAATTGTAAGTTGTTATTATTAGACACAAATAATGCATCTTTACATTTAATATAGTGTGGTAACAATATTCTTTTTATAAATGATGAATGATATAATTTGATGAAATCATAAAATTCTTATCAGATCTCAGATGATGAAGATGACACCCATCCAAACATCGATACACCATCACTATTTAGATGGCGTCATCAAGCTAGGATTGAAAGAATGGAAGAACAAAAACGAGAACAAGAAGAACATGAAAGGAAAAAAGCAGAGTATGTTTAATATATTTATTCTATGTAAAGAGCATTATTATTGCATATCATACTATAATGGGTATTTGTTTTCAGAACATTACAAAAATTAAAAGACACAAAACAGAAAGTTGAAAAACTGGAAAATGAACAAAAGGATTGTGCTGATTTGACTGCATTGAAAAAGGTTTTACAAGATCTTGAGGAGGAAGGGAAAAAAATTAAAGCGAAAGAGGACGAAATGATAAAGAAGGAGAAATTAACACCATGGAATGTAGATACTATTGGCCAAGATGGTTTCACAAAGACTGTGATTAATACAAGGCCACCTCGTAGGGAAGATGATTCTGCCTTATCAGATGAAGAGAAAGAGAAGAGAATGAAACAGTTTGTTAAGGAGCATGAAAAACAATTGAAAGAATTTGGTATGTTAAGAAAGTATGATGATAGTAAGAAGTTCTTGACTGAGAATCCTGAGTTGGTGTGTGAAAACACTGCGAACTATTTAGTGATTTGGTGTATTAACTTGGAAATGGAGGAAGTAAGGATACATCTAATATTTCTGTTAAATATATTTTAATTGATATCAGGATTTAATAAATTAACCAGAATTTTCTTTGTTTTAGAAACACGATTTAATGGAACATGTTGCCCATCAGTGCATATGTATGCAATACATTTTAGAACTATCAAAGCAATTGAGTGTCGATCCAAGGGCGTGTGTGGGTTCTTTCTTTACTCGTATTCAGATTGCTGAAGTAGAATATAAAAATTCCTTTGATGATGAACTTAGGGCATTTAAAGATAGAATACGCAAGAGAGCTGCAGAAAAAGTAGTGGATGCTCTTAAAGAAGCTGAAGAAGAAGAAAGAAACGCACGTCTTGGCCCTGGTGGTCTTGATCCACTCGAAGTGTTTGAGACTCTTCCAGAGGTAAAAATGGATGTACTGCAGCAGAAAAAAAGCACGATCTTCATTTTGAACATAATCATCGTGATAATAACGTGTATATTTTGCAGTCTCTACAAAAATGTTTCGAATCACGAGATATTCCTTTACTGCACGAAACATTAGCGGCGATGCCAAAAGCAGAAATGTGTTATCATATGAAACGGTGCGTTGATAGTGGTCTTTGGATACCTGATGGAAAAGATGCGGAAGGGGTATTAAATGACACACAAGAAACACCCGACCCCGAATAACGTGAATCTGTAAATTATACGTGTTGGCATTCATGACTCATTTATGCAAGTATGTTTTAATATCATGAATATGTTAAAATAAAATATTGTCACTAGACAATGAAATATGGAATTTCTACCTTCGTTGGCTTTTTCTTATTGTAAGAACATTGTATTATCGTGTTACGTTTTGAATTACTTTAAGACTGAATTATTGCATAATTCCGATTTATAATAGGATAGTGTGAATACAAGAAATAGTTAATTACACAGACCTACTTTCTAATGAAATGTGATATATTTCACCTTAATATACTATGTTGGTCATGTCATATTTTCGTCTAATATCAATGTTTACACATATTGATATTTGTATATACGTGATAAGTAATATATGTATTATAGAATACATGTATGTGTGTATATAAATTCGATACACTATTTACCCATTAAGTGAACACTTAACATTTCTTTTTCTTGCTGTTATTTCATATGTAAATTGAAATGTGTAGACAAATTTGATGTAAATAAAGAAAATATGTTCAATTCCTCTGCAAGTTACCGAGGCAATATACATATTTGTTAAAACAGATATTAATACTTATTTTAAAACCTTATCGACTTATCAGCAAAAGAAAAGTTGTTATGGCTTAAACTTAGGTTTCATGGTTTTTCATTTTAGAAGAATTTTAAACGGAATTAAAGAAATGACTAAGCACTTTGAAAAGTTTAAATTTTTAAAGTAAAATATGGTAGAATATATTCACATTTTATAGTAGTTTGAGCATAAAGCAATCGAAATGTTACATAAAATAGAGGGTGAAGACAACATTTATACACATTTATATTCCCCAGATAATTTTATCCATTTCTAGATTGTATTATAGAAATTTCCATTGCCCTACCTACTATATCTTAAATGTAGTAAGCTCCGAATAATGTATTTTTTACTATTGTACATTGTTTATTCTGTTCAATATATTCATTCTAAAAGACCTGAGTATACAAATATTTTTTTATCAAACATAAGCATTTTTATATTTATTAATACGTTTCTTTCTATTGTTACAGTGGATTCGACGAATTGTTTTACCCGCCTCTCGTTGGCCATGACATCGATGCTTAGCATCTCGAGATATCGATCCTCGACCGGAAACTGTAAATAATCGTATATCGAACTCGCGATCCTTTCTTCCTTTTCCGGTACGACGTGCCACGGGCGTTTGGGTAATATTTTTCGTCTTTCATTCTCGTCTTAATACGTTAGTTCCATCGCCTGCGAAAACGCAAGCTGGCTTTCATTGGACCGGGTAAAACCATTTGCTTTACTAGAAGTCATTATTTTTTTGTATTCAACGCATTCATTACTCCAATTTCTCGATCCGATTAATTTTACTTCTTGCTTGTACCCAATCTCATGGAAAACGTCAGCTTTTAGACATTATGTCGCTTCATAAAAGTGCTTTTATACTCTGCATGACGACCCATTAACATTCACATTTTATACATCATACATGTACAACCCATCATATCACGTGATTAAATTATGGTTAGTAAGATTAAGTTTCTGAGCTCAAATATATTACGTATTTATGGTCTTCGTGAACAGCTTTGTGATTCAAGTTCTAGAGTATATTATTTTTTATGTTTAAATAATGTGCTTATCAGATTAACAAGATTCAGATAGATCTCGCCGAATAATGAAATTTACTTCTGTAATTTAATGTGTATTTCTATTTAAATGCAAAGTAAATGTTAATATTGAACAACGTAAGCTGTTCAACGTAATCATACGATCTGCCCGATCACCATAATTGCGCATATACAGAGGAACAATCGAAAAACGGTCACCAATGCATTCTGGGTAAATTCTTCGTGAGTAATCAAAATGGCTGTCTTACAACGATTTCCGTTTTGCGTGATATTTGAAAGTAATTCGTCGGAACATTACTTCGTAATAAGGTTTGTCCGTGAAATCAAGAAATATTATTATGTAGCTTTCAACGGGGCGTGTTTCTTTGAATATTTCACGTTACTGTGAGCTAAAAATTGTAATTTTTTATTGCATTTCCAAGGCGTTCGTAATAACGAGGGTGTAGATGGGCGGAGGGGAGGGGATGTGCGCGCGCGCGTTGGACGACGGGGACGACGGACGGTAGGACGGTCGGGGAGGGCGAAAGAACGAGTCGAGTTCACAAAATGGCGGCCAAGCTCAGGCCCGTGACCATATAGTACGTGAAAATTCGATAATTTTGCACGATGTCGCGTCTCTATACATCAATAGTCGTTTAACATTGTGGATACGTGTGCATACGGTAGTTTAATTATTGAATTAACGTGATCTTGTGCGTGGTGCGTATATTATCGAGATATCGGTGCGACGCGCAGTCGGGACGATGCAGGTGAGTGGTCGGGTTCGAAAATTGTTTAATTTTCACCTCACCCCGCTATTTTCTACCAACAATTGGTTGGTTTTCTTTTAAACACGAGCGCGTTTGTTATATTTAATGAAGAATTTACGTGATATGGCCGCGGTGTTGTTTGGAATAGGGAAATATCACGTTGTCACATGCGTTTCAGTGTACTACAATCAGAAAAAACCCTGTAAAAATGAAAAAAATCGTTGTAATTCAATTTGAAAGGTTTCTGCGTGTAGGGCGGGGTCCTATCGACCTTAAGAGCTCAGGGACTTGGTTCTGCTGAATCACAATTTTTCATAACTTTACATAGTTCACAGCCTCTTAATAACCTATATGTTTGTTTACATTCGTTCAACCTGACATTTATTACAGAAAATATCGTTGTTCCACCCTAATTTTTGTTGGAAATCATTCCTTGCAATCTCCTTCACCTTAGACCCATGGTTAATCAAAAATTTGAAATGGACCCATTTTTGCAAATTAAGCTCAAAGATTGTGATGCACATTTTCCCTGTTATGGTCGAGATTGTGTAGCACAATCTTCTGTGAAAGCTGGAAGAATTAAATGTTCTCCACTTAGAAATTAATAGGTATATTCAAACATTTTTCTTATAAAAGGATATAGAGATTTCTATAATATTTGAAGAATTTTTCTCTTGGGAGTAAGGCTTGATCTGTCAATTCTTTTCTGTAGTAATCAGAAAACTTGGATTTGTATGCAATGTGTTACATCATGCAGTCAGTTTGTGTTTGTAATTAATAGACAGAATAATGTATTTATGGTTTTCTACATAATTTCTCATGAATTTCTATAAATGTCGGTTACATAAGTGAAGCAAACAATGATTTGTAACAAACAGGAAAAATATTTACAATGAAGTTACTGCTACAATATTCAGTTTGATTATAAAATAATGTTGAAGACTCATTTATATTGTTCATAAAATATGTTAAAGTTACATAACTTCTAGTGTCCCGTGACAAATAGTATATTTTTGTCAATCTCTACTGTTAAGAAAAGTAAAGAGTGAGTCTTTAAAAATTAGAAGTGATCAGTTTCACTGTCAATAACATGTTTACAAATATTGTTACAAAGATAATACATGTAAACATATAAATTCTCCATTTATAAGGCAGGGCAAGTAGATTCTTTCAACTCTGTCTATTCTTAATTTATAAAACGTACAATTACTATGAACATATTATATATGGACATATATCTTGACTATAACTGTAAGAAGATATTATTTATAGCTGTCAGTATTGTTACTAATTTATATAATGCAGTATTACAAATGTCAGGATTACAATTTCTCTTCTACATGGCAGCTGTATATATTGAAACTCAGAATAGTTGCAACGTTAGTGCAACTTAGGAATAGTAGAAGATACAGTTTTGAAACGTGTATTCAAGAAACAGTAATTCCTCACATAGTGTGAGTATTAATTGTTATACAAAGAATATATACCATCAATTTTACTTGGATCTGATCCTATTTATTGTATCTTATATGTCATCTACTTTCAAACAATGTTGTGCTTCACACAACAGAATTATGTGTGGTAATTACTATAACATAAAATGTGGTTATTCCTTTAGAATCTATTAATAATATTTATGCTTAAGCGTACATAAAGTATCAGTCTTATATCAGACACATATTTTGATGATAGTTTGTACAAAATTACTGTGTATGAGTTTTCTTCACATGAATTTTGTGGTGTAATATACTATTAACAGAAGAAACGTAGATTAAGTTCAGTCAAGTGTTGCTTACAATGTACTTGCTGAATTGTTCAATAAAGGTATAAAGTACTCGAATAATGGTGAATTATATTATTCTTTTAAGATACCCACTATACCTTACATCGGTTATTTACAGGACACAGCCTTATGTATCTAACGCTAATCAGTTATAAGAACTCCAGCAGAGTTTTAAATACTTCATAGAAGGCTTTGATAGTGTTGAAACGATAATTTCAAAGTTTCATCAGCTTACCTTTAGCATGATAATGTTTAGCATTAGTAATCATGCTTTGATTTATCCAATTGTTTAATATATCTTACTATTGGTATTAATATAATGTTCGGATACATGTGGTTTCGAGTACACACAAATATGTAACATAATTTGAAACGTTCGAGAACGTATCTGCCAGGTGCATCGAAGAGCTGGGAAATTAAGTCTTTTGGGATTACAAAATGGTGGACAAGATTCATAAAATGGCGGAAAGATACTTACATTGATAGATGGCACTACTTCGTCATACATAATTTATTTTTTCAATGTGAAAATTATATCGATTACAATATGTATATCATGTACAATATGAATAAAATGTAGCACAAATCTATCATTACGAGTAGCACAGTTAATTAAATTTATCAGAGAATTATTATTCCGGAGAATACGAATAATGTAACTCAAATAAATTTGCGCGTAAATTTTAATGAAACAACTATTCCAAACAACACGCTGCGACTTTTAGTTACTATTCAAATTTAAGCGATATTAGATCGGTCTAATTGAATTACAGAAAACGTTAGAATCTGAGTCTGGCAAGGAATCTGGATCTGATTCTGAGAATGAAAGTAAGAGCGATAGCTCTTCTTCAGGGAGCAATACAGGATCTGGTTCAGGATCAGAAAGGTGGGTATAAATATTGGTTTGGTGTGTCCCTTTGGCTTCAGAGAGTCTGATACATTGAGAAATTTCTCATTGTATTATTTATGCATATCATACTGTCATTACATTTTATCATCGTGTGAACGAATATAATTCCGTTCTTTTTATGTGCTGTTATCGTTTGTTATGTACTTTTTTATTTGTTTCTAGAGTGTTACGTAGTACGAATTCGCGTTAGCATACCAGAGCTAATAATAGCAACCGATATTCAATCATCAATGGCAACAATATGATAGCATTTTCTGTAATAATGTATTTGACTTTCTGATGTATAAGGGATTTTTTTTAAAGATTGGTATCACTTGACTTTGTGTATTGCTATAGCTTTATATAGCATTAACATGGCTTTGACAATCATGCTAATTTAATGTATCCCTTCAAATTTTTTTAAGCATAATCTTCAGATTTCTGTTATTCATGCAATAGTCTCTGTTTCCGTGTATTCTAAAACAATTCAAGCACTGGGTAAGCTAGTATTCTGCTTTTACTCATTTTATCGATAAATCAAGTTATCCCAATAAATTATGGATAGTGTATGACACCTTAGATTATGCAGAAACACAATGTACAGTCTTATTTTCGCATAAAACTTGGAGAGTATTTTCGGTAGAGTGAAAATAGTGATATTTTAACAATACATTCTACATAATATTCAACCCAGAAGCACATGCGTAAAAATAGTTCACGTGATCACGCTTGATAGCGATTATACAGATATACACGCATCTAGGTGATAGTGTTATAAAAAGTTGTCTGATAATTTTTTACCCCATCGCGTGTGCTCTCGGGTTGAACGTGTTTATTATTCATTGTATAGCAATAAATGTGTTATCCGTTGTTACATACATTCTTATACTGATAACATTGAATTAATAAAAAAAAACAAGGAAACAAAAACGTAAGAAAGTTTCACACAATTTACAATTTGCGATAATAAATTACTGATTTGTCATCAGTCATATGCTTGAAGAACATTTGATACTTTTCATTGTACCTGATTATTCGAAATATTTGAAACTCTACTCTACACTGTATTAACAAGATTAGTGAAGTATAAAACCGTTACCTGGCTGCTAATGCAGTGACTCTAGCTCCTCGAGTGGTTCCGGGTCTGGATCAGGCTCTGATTCTGAGAAATCAGAGAAATCGGATGCACCTGCACAAAGCGATAGCTTCCAGAGCAAAAGTTCAAATCACAGCACAGAAACAAAAGTTAGGCTTAAAAATGAGTCTAGTCGTGAATGGGATGAAAATCCCGACATATATGGCATCAGGCGATCCGGGCGGTCTAGGAAAGAGCCTGAAAGGCTTGCGACACAACGTGAAAGCGATAGCGATAGTCGGAAGAAATTTAAGAAGAAAAGGTAAGTAACAACCAGAAACTTCATTAAATAACTATAGAAAGGTATAAATTCCGTAATTCTGCGTACTATGTTTCGTTTAGATCAAATTATAGATTTCACACAACAGGCATTGAGTCTTTAAATCCGTTTCATGCTTCTCTCGTAATAAACTTTAAATCGAATTACCATTTATAATTTCCAACAATATGATGATTTGTAGGTTTATATTATGCGTACTTTGAAAAAATGATATTTTTTCTGTATTTACATCTTCTTAAAAATATGCTTTCAAGCGTGAAGAATAATACTTCAAATCGTATTAACGAAGATATCTTTCATAAATTGTAATATTCTTATATATATATATCTTATATCAATACTCAGTTTCTGCATTTTAGATTATAGGTAATTTACTATGTTTGTTTAGTAGGTTTGTATCTTATACCTTTAGTAGCAATAATCATTTTCCTAAGCTTCTGTGTTCTTGTATGTGTGTGTGTGTGTGTAGCACTCTACATTGACTGTAATCTGTATTATTGTGTATTAATGTGCTTCCATATTTCGTGTTAGTTTAATTATAATGTATAATATCCTTGTTTTTTAGTTTCTATTTTAGAGGCTTAAAATTTAAAAAGTTTTGTACACCATTGAATTTTTCCGTTTTGTTTTTTTAAATTATATTCTGTCACATTTGTATATCACATTTGTATGTTGTATTCGTTAAATTTATTGAATTAAAAAATAAGCATGCAGAAAATATCGTCACATGATAGAAATAAGGAACAATGATTGTTATCATAAGAATGAAAGCAATATTGTCTGTTGTTTAGCTAAAATTTTTACAAATTATTCCTGTTACTTTTTTTATGACTTACTAATGTTTTATTAAAAAGTTCTTTTGCGTTACGCATATAATTTCAATAAATTATATAATAACCGAGTTTATACGTGATATAGGAAAAAGCGAAAAAAATACCTTAGGTATCAAGTATCATTAATAAAGTTAAAGTCGATAGTTTATTTAATTGCTATTATAAATATGATACATATATTTTCAATTTCTTTATTTTTGCTTTTAATTTTTTTTACAGTTCGCATAATTCCTGGAATTCGGAAAGTTCAGATTCTGAATCTGATGATGTCGAAAGTAGCAGACCTCCACCTAGTAAATCGTTGAATAGGCGTGCAGCACAGAAGGCGAAAGAAAACGCCCGAGTTAGGAAGAAAAGAATTTCAGAGTCATCTGAAAATTCGTCGTTTGACAGTGACGATAATAGAAGGTATCTGATTCGTTCTATTTAAATATCAATAAGTATTCTGAAAACAAATGAAAATTTCATGACTAAAATACAGTAATAATGAATGTTGACCAAATATAAATTGATATATTTCAGACAAGTTACAAGAAGAAGCGGTACCGCAGTTAGTTATAAAGAGGAGAGTGAAGAAAGAACTGACAGTGAGGATTTGGTGGAAGTTGAAGAAGGTAGTGTTGTAACTGCAGAACCTGATAATGCAGAAACAATTGAACGAATTTTGGCACAAAGAGTTGGTAAAAAAGGAGGTTTGTTATCTACACAATTGTCGATCGAATTGCTAAGTACATTTTTCCGAACATTATATCATAATATCTCTTTCTTCAGTCACAGGGAATGTTACAACAATTTATGCTGTTGAAGAGAATGGAGACCCTAATCCAGAAGATTTGAGCAATGAAGAAACTGAAGTACAATTTCTGATAAAATGGAAAGGATGGTCTCACATTCACAATACATGGGAGTCAGAAGAGTCGTTGAAAGCACAAAAAGTGAAAGGACTAAAGAAATTGGATAATTTCATTAAACGAGAACGGGAAATCAAGCAATGGAGGGACTACGCGGGGCCCGAAGACATAGATTACTTCGAATGTCAAATGGAACTTCAGCAAGATCTCTTGAAAAGTTACAATAACGTTGAAAGAATTATTGCTGACTACAACAAGCCCGACTCTGACCATCCGGACTATTACTGTAAGTGGGAGAGTTTACCGTACGCCGACGCGACATGGGAAGATGGAGCACTGATTGTCAAGAAGTGGCCGGAAAAAATCAAAGAATTTCGTGATAGAGAAGACTCGAAGAGAACGCCGAGCAAACATTGCAAAGTTCTGAAATCAAGACCTAAATTTCATCAATTAAAAGGACAACCAGAGTACATGGGTGAAGGACGAGAATTAATACTTAGAGATTATCAAATGGATGGACTGAATTGGATGATTCATTCTTGGTGTAAAGAAAATAGGTATAGTATCTTTACGAAATTGAAGGAAATCTAAAGTTTGTATGTATTGTGTCTTGTGAATTTTTACGAATTTTGTGTATTTTCAGTGTTATTTTAGCAGACGAAATGGGTCTTGGTAAAACAATACAAACAATATGCTTCCTGTATTACTTGTTCCATACACATCAGCTTTATGGGCCATTTTTATTAGTAGTTCCTCTTTCTACAATGACTTCCTGGCAAAGAGAAATGTCACAGTGGGCACCAGACATGAATTTCGTCACATACTTGGGAGACGTTACTTCCCGAAATGTTGTAAGTATTATTTTTCAATTTATTCTTTCTCTGAGCTTTTATATTAATAATCATTTTAATGGTTATATTTTATGTGATTTTTTTCTAGATTAGGGAATACGAATGGTGTTATAGTTCTAAGAGATTGAAATTCAATGCCATACTTACTACGTACGAAATAGTACTTAAAGACAAAGCATTTTTGGGAGCTTTAAATTGGGCCGTGCTCTTAGTAGACGAAGCGCACCGATTAAAAAATGACGACTCCCTTTTATACAAAGCACTTGCTGAATTTCATACAAATCACCGACTTCTAATAACTGGTACTCCACTACAAAACAGCTTAAAAGAATTGTGGGCCTTACTACACTTCATAATGCCTACTAAGTTAGTGAATTTTTGTACGAGTATTGTAACCAATGTATCAAGTAATGTCTTTTAAAGCATTACAATATAAGGACCGTCTGTTTGTATATTTAATTTATATTTTTATCTATATAATAAGATTATACCGATTCTTTTCTCCTTGCAGATTTAACTCGTGGGAAGAGTTTGAGAAGGAACACGACAACGCGGCTCAAAAAGGATACTCCAAATTACATAAACAATTGGAACCGTTTATATTACGACGTGTTAAAAAAGACGTCGAAAAATCGTTACCTGCTAAAGTCGAACAAATCTTACGCGTGGAAATGACATCTTTGCAGAAACAATACTACAAATGGATATTGACAAAAAATTATAACGCGTTGCGAAAAGGTGTCAAGGGGTCCACAATGACTTTCTTAAATATTGTTATCGAGTTAAAGAAATGCTGTAATCACGCGTTTCTCACAAAACCTACCGAAAACGATAGGAGAGACAATTATGAAGACTATATACAGCAATTAATTCGCGGCTCTGGCAAATTAGTTCTTCTCGATAAATTGTTAGTAAGATTACGTGAAACAGGACATAGGGTATTAATATTCAGTCAGATGGTTCGAATGTTGGATATTCTCGGTGAATATTTGCAAAAGAAACATTTTCCATTCCAACGGTTAGATGGAAGTATTAAAGGAGAGTTACGGAAACAAGCTTTAGATCATTTTAACGCAGAGGGATCGCCAGACTTTTGCTTTTTGTTGTCAACTAGAGCAGGTGGTCTCGGTATTAATCTGGCTACTGCCGACACAGTTATTATATTTGACTCAGATTGGAATCCACAGAACGACTTGCAAGCACAAGCTAGAGCACATCGTATTGGTCAAAAAAATCAGGTATTTATATATTTTTATACTGATCATTATTATACTCGTCCCATTTTTAATAAAAATGTTTATTAAATTTTTTTTTTTACGTATTATATAGGTAAATATTTATCGATTAGTAACGAAAAATTCTGTGGAAGAGGAAATAGTAGAAAGGGCAAAGCAAAAGATGGTTCTCGATCATCTTGTTATTCAACGGATGGATACGACTGGTCGAACAGTATTAGATAAAAAGAATGCAGGAGGAACTAATAACAATCCATTTAACAAGGAAGATCTAAATGCTATTTTGAAATTTGGCGCCGAAGATTTGTTTAAAGACGAAGAAGATGGAGATGAAGAACCGACTGTAATATTTACGAATCATTACACTATTGTAAATTAAATTTATATGAAAGTGAAACAAAAATGTAAGTTCCCGTTATTTTCTGTATAACTAGTGTGATATCGACGAAATTCTGAGAAGAGCAGAAACGAGAGACGAAGGACCATCAACGGTAGGAGATGAATTATTGTCTGCATTCAAAGTAGCTAGTTTCGCCGCGTTCGAAGAAGAATCTGAACCTGTTAGCCAGCCAAATGACAATGACGATGAGAGTAAAGATTGGGTAAGATTGACTTTATATCTAAATATAAAATACTTCACGATATTTTTGTTTATAGTAAATAACATTATTTTACTACATGTGCTGTGTATGGATTGGTTTACTCTAGGCGGAAATTATCCCAGAAAATTTCAGAAAGAAAGTGGAAGAAGAAGAGAAATCGAAAGAAATGGAGGATTTGTACTTGCCACCAAGAAGTCGGAAAACGTTGCAGCAGATAAATCAAAGTGAAGGTATATATACATATATACATATATGTATACTTTAGATACTTATTTCTTCCAGGCAGATATAATTGATACGCGTATTAATATTCAGGAAGGGGTAGAAAACGGAAAAAGACATCTGCCGATGATAGTGAAGAAGGCGAAGATTCGGGAAGTGAAGCTGAAGGTAGCGACGATGAACGGCCTAAGAAGAGAGGCAGGCCGAGAGTTACACCACGGGAAAATATAAAAAGCTTCACTGATGCAGAAGTATGTGTCACATTATTAAAGATTTGTTAGTGTACATTAAAACAAAAATAACTTTTCTTTTATATAGATACGAAGATTCGTTAAAAGTTATAAAAAGTTCCCTGCTCCGTTAAAACGCTTGGACGACATCGCTGCGGACGCCGAACTGCAAGAAAAACCAATGTCGGAATTACGTTTCTTAGGAGATCAATTGAGAAGTAGATGTGAAGCTTGTTTATCTGAATTCGAAAGTATAGCCAAAGAAAATAAAGGAGAAGAAGAGGGCAAAGGGCCGGGCCGTAAAAGAGGTCGGGGTCCTACGTTTAAGATCGGCGGTGTTATGGTTAACGCAAAATCGTTCTCAGCAGCGGTGAAGGAACTAGAACCCTTGGAACAAGCTTTACCACCAGATCCTGAACAACGGTCCAATTGGCATATCGACATTAAGTAAGTGTATTTTTCTTTTTCAGATTTTTTTTACCGAGCATGCATATTTATACTTTATTTGCTGTACAGATTAAAGCCTGCAAATTTCGACACTGAATGGACTCCTGAAGATGACTCCAGACTTCTCAGAGGTATATACCAACATGGCATGGGCTCGTGGGAAGCGATAAAAATGGATAGTAGTTTAAAACTTGGCGACAAAATTCTCCCAAATAGTAGTAAGCTGCATTTGAAGAAAATCAATACACGAGCCGAATACCTGTTGAAAGTACTGAAGAAACAAATTGATACCAAACTAGGAGTGGTAAGGAAGTACTGTTTAGTTTGTCATGAAAATCCATAAAGAACACCTTTATACCTTTGTATTATCCTGACAGGGTTATGTCCTTGCTCCACAACCAGAATACCATTATAAGGTGAATTCTAACTCCCGAATTTTCTTTTCTCCCGTTCTACATATTCCTGTCTATTAATCTTATGCTGCAATAACGACAAATTAGTATTAATTCTACTTGTCTTAAGTTTTACAAATTCTTTTAGCCTAAAACAAGGAAACCAAGGAAGCCGAAGGAGATAAAAAATGCAATCACGAAAGAAATTATAGAAGAAAATGATAGTTCAGGCGATGAAAGTAATAAAGTGAAATCGAAAATGGACAAGGTACATTTGATATTTATTTTTGTATTGTATAGTTCATAAAGTGGTATTTGGAATTTTAAATATTCGTATAACTTAAGCCACCTGTGAAAAAAGAAGAAGACGTAGTTGTTAAAAAGGAAATTAAAGAAGAAGTTGAAGATGTCCCAGAAGAGAAGAAGAAGGATAAGAAAGCTAAGAAAGAAAAGAAGGAAAACAAAAAGGCTAAAAAGACTAAGCAAGCTGTGGGTCCGATGCATTTTACTGCTAATAATGAACCAAGAGCTCTTGATGTTCTTGGAGATCTAGATCCTTCCATATTTAATGAGGTTATTATTGATTTTCGTAACATGTACTATATATACATTAAATATGAAGTGTAACCATACATTTATTCTTTTGTACAGTGTAAAGAAAAAATGAGACCTGTGAAAAAAGCACTCAAGGCTTTAGACAGGCCTGATCAGTCTTTAAGCGAAGCTGAACAAGTTGCCCACACAAGGCAATGCCTTGTTCAAATTGGAAACCAGATAAATACCTGTTTAGAAGAATACAGAGACCCAGAACAAATTAAAGAATGGAGGAGCAATTTATGGTATTTCGTGTCAAAGTTTACAGAGTTTGATGCAAAAAAACTTTATAAATTATATAAACATGCAACGAAGAAAGGCGGTGACAGCAATACAAGCGCTACATCGAGTCCAGAAAAGAAGGAAGAACCTAGTAACGCCAAGGTATTGTAAATTCATGCAACGTGTTATGATTAGAGTAATATTATGAACAAACGATTGTAATAATTCATTTTACAGAAGCATATTGATAAACCATACGAGAAACATATCGATAAACAACAAGTAGATACTAATAAAGAAAGTAGATTACAAAAACGTAGAGTCGAAGATATGGAAGAAAATTCTAATAGTAGCACGCCAAGTAAGAAACACTTCTCAGCTATATCTGCTGTAAGCAATATCAGCAATACTTCTACGGTTACCATTGGTGCTATTACTATTACTCCTATTACATCGACTCCGAATTCTACGTCAAGTACCACTAACAGTACGGACACACCACGACATAAAGAGAAAGAATCGAAACATAAAGATGTAAAAAGAGACAGGGATCGTGACAGAGATCGAGACAGACCGCACAGTGATAGGAGTATAGATAGAATGAGTGGTGGCAAAGACGAGAGGATCAGAAGAGACAGCGGTGGTTACAGTATAAGTGGACATTATAGCGGTAGCAGAGAAGATGATCATTGGATGTCGCGTGATGGAAGAGACATGAGGGACGGAAGGTATAGTTGATAATATTCGGATCATTTGAAGATCCTGTACGTTAATAGTATTAAATTGTTTTACAGTTTGAATTATAATTGTCGGTTAATTTATAGATTTGGTGACCATAAACGCGATCGCTTCGATTCTTACGGACGTATGTCCAGTGGATATCATCGAGACAGGGACAGGGATCGTGATCGTAACATGCACATGAACGATAAAAGAAGGTAAGTCACATATAAGGAGGTTCTGTAAGGAAATAAAGTTCATAAGATTGGTGTTCAGCGATTATTACAGATATCCGTCAGGACCACCAAGTTATGGGTATGGTCCAGGAGGTTATGGTAGTGGAGGTGGCGGTGGATACCCTCCATCAGATATTCCACCAAGCCATTTTAGAGGTCGGGGTTATCCTGGAGACGGTTATCCTAGTGATTGGCGACCAAACAAAGATTATAGACGGGACTATGATCGAAGACCTCCTCCGCCAAACGCTAACTCCTAGTGCTCCTTCCTTGTCACCGTGCTCGAGTGTGTTGTCGAGCGGCTGTAATCGTTGACGGAGCGTTGTGTTAATTTACCTGACAGAGCACTGTACATTATTGCTCGCTTAAATGTGGCTATACGCTAAATTCTTTACACAGTCTATTCTGTAATTTAGTAACACTCGTGACTTGTACCTATGTATAAAAAGTCTATTCCAAATGCTTACTTGAAACATGGAAAAGAGGTCCACTATGATCGAATGGTCTTTTTAAGACTTCTAGTGGAGAGGTTGTGCAAGATAACAAATCGATACATATATTCCTAGTGCACAATTAATACTTCTTTATATATATATATATATATATATATATATATATACACATGTCAGATGTCTTGCAACACACAGTAATACCGAATCTTTAAGTTTGTATTCGCTTATTATTATGGCATACGTGCGAGGAATTATGTTTATATATTCGATACCGTTTTATTACAGTGCAATTATAGCAAGATTCATATGATAACGAACGGAGAATCAAATTTGTGTCTCTTTTTTTGTAAGTATATATTACCACGTACGAGGTTGGAATTCGTAATTCAAAACTATACGCCTTCCTAAATCGCATGTAACATATTTTGCATTTTTCGATACCGATCATGTATGGTCAATAGATGTTTAGCCTGTATACAGTTAATCGCTAATTGAGACTATGTTTTCCAGCATACGCCTTCTGACTTTTGCGATTGATTTAGTAGTTCCATAACTTACCTAACAGTGATTAATTAATATCGTGTTGCACTGCAATAGATAGTAAACCACCAGCGTTTTACTGAATACAATGATGTCTATAAAATTGTACAAATTAGTCGACATTACATAAATTTTCTATCAACTGAAACTACACCGAGATCTTGCATCAAAAGAAGTATGTAGTTATAAAGATGACGTCTTTCCGTGATGATATGCAGCGTACATTATCCTGCGCTGTCTCGATAAACGCATGTATTTATTGTACAATTAGGAACAAGATGATAAATATGATACTTGACAAACAGATGATCACATATTCTCAAAAAGAGAGAAAAAAAGGGAAAATAATACTAACTTTCTTCTCTTTTATAGAATTTATACTTTCGCAATTGAAAAGTAGATAAGAATTCTATTTTTGCGTTCATTCTTTTAAAGTACCATAGTTTTGTATCCTATTCTGAAACGATGTGAGATATTGTAAATATTAGCATAAGGCGATAGTTATATTCGATGTATATTTAACTCTGGAGTTACTGGGATAGTATTCTGCTTTCTTGTAGAAAGAATAAACGAAAAGACTCTAGTACTCATAGTTTTGCTTCAGTTAAGAATGATTGAATATAACTATGATAATGTGACTAGAACGAGGAAAACAGTTTTTAATCATTCAACGATCAATATCTCTGAAAGAGTATTAATATTTCTCAATTAAATCGTAAATTATCGTAAGGATTTGTAAACTGCATAAGTTTTTTGCGAGAACATTTGTATTTTGTGATTTATCCATTAGGATGGTACAGAGCGATGATCAATTGCCCTATATTTCCATAAACAAGAATATTACATTTGCGAATTTTATATCCGCGAAGAAGAAAATGAAAGTGATAAGCTTTTGTATTCACGCATTAATTGTTTTCAACCTAAAATCACGTGATTGCTACGAACCGTGTAGCGTCAGTTATTTTCTATTCAAAATTCTTTTTAAATATATGCCTTTATTAGGCTGAAAAGCAGACAAAAAAGAAATTATTTTGTAGTTTTTTTTATTCACACGAAGCCAACCAAACAACAGCAAAGAAAGAAATTTTACAATTTTAGCATGCATTTCTGTAAATAATAGTACATACATGTGATCACGTTTGGCCAGAACAAAGGGAAAATTGTGCGAATTACATACATTGAAGAATACATTATGTCTCATACACATATGAAAAAGACAAAGTTAATACATTGAAAATCACACTACCATAGAAATCCGCTAGTTTAGGTTTTTAATTGCAAAGTGATATTCTAAACAGTGAGCTATTTATAATTTATTACTAGCTGAATACAGACCGTGAATAATAAAGCAAAGTATGTTGTACATATAATATAAGAAAATGAAATAAATGATGTAGTAAAATAATTTAATACCGTATAATTAAAATGGAACATATTTTATTACTTATAAAGATACATTTAATTAATCGCTTACCGAGATATTGAAGTACATAAATGTAATAAACGTTGAATGAATAATCTAAATATTCACTAGACTTACTCTTTATTAAATTATCAATCCATACAATAAATGAAATTCTTTGAAACATTAACATTAAAATCACAACACTATATGTATGTTGTTTATATTATTTGATCGTTCATTTGAATTACGTATATATAATATGATAGTAATATTTTTGTGAATATGATAGTATTATTTGCAATTAATTTAATTTCAATGCACAACGTTTATAATATATCGCTGAAAGATTACTGTACCGTAGTTCGACAATTGCACATACTATTGATACATATACATACTGTGTATCTCACATGCGTACATGAATACATGCCGCATACCCGATGCATGTATGTATATCAGTATATATCTTCTCCATATAAAAAACTCTTCCATTCGTACAAAAAAATCCCCTCTACCGTAGTACAGTAAGTTCAGTACATAGTTGCGTATGTATACGCAGTATATGTATACCCAATTCGATACTATCGATACGTTGTTGAAGAGGCGCAATTGAGAGAGGAAGATTAAACTCCGCTACGTTTTTTAGTACTTCGTCTTAATACGTGTCGGCGAAAAAGTTACAGATCTATTTCTTTTGTTCAAAATAAGGTACGTATTTGACAAAAATAAAGTTACCATTTATTATCTAATTACACTGAATTATCACAAACTAGCCACGTTCAAATGTGTCAAAATTAAATTTCCGGCGAAATGACTTGCCAAATTATTCGGGACAATATTACAGCTGGAAATCTTGCAAAGCATTATTATCAACTAAATTTTCTAATTGTCGTATATACAATTTATAAATGACTTCTGATATAATGTTCACAGTAAAAAAAGTACATTATTATACATGAGTCAGATTTATGAATTTAGACGTACTGTGAGAAAGATAACACTATTTAATCGTTCTTACAAGTGTTTCCGAACAGTTCTCCAGCTGTCTTCAATTTTACATAGGAATTAGGAAGGTAACGTAATAAACAATTTAAGGGTATGAAATTCATAAATTATTCCTTTCGTAAGATTTGCGTCATACGCTAAATAGAATAAGGAAGATTTTTGCGACTGTGACCTTGTGACGCAGGAATTTATTAATGAGTATATCCTTGCCGATAATACGCTGTGATAATCATATAAGAACCAGACATTTTCTGTATTTATTTACATAGAAGTTATCAAATTATGGTTATTTAAAATGAACAACTACCAATTTGGCCATTTCCTATCACCCTCCTTTGTTTCATGTTTGACACGGTCTAATTCAATGTGCATACTTATTTAAAATTTCATGTATTTCTGTATGACTATGTGGTACAACACTTTATTAAATGAAATTGAAGAATTTCTAATTGTTATGAAGAATACAGTTGTTTTTTTACAATAATTAATTGTATTTTAATTCATCATTTTAATTTTGTCATATTTTTGAGTTAAATTTATGTAAAAGAGATTTACATTATAATCATACAATTAAAGTAACTATGGTAATAATATTGAAATATAAATATTTTACAGATACTGCTATCATGGCAAATGAAAGATTGGATATTGTTATATTTGGTGCTAGTGGTTTCACTGGTAAACATGCTGTGCAGGTAGCTGCACAACTGGCTAAAGAAAAACAAATCAAGTTCGGTATTTCTGGACGTCGTAAGCAAGCTTTAGAAGCAATTCGTTCAGAGCTTGCTGCTGACATTGGTAAAATAATTTTTTTCTATACCATACTATTTGTAAATTGTGTTTTAAAAAATTATCTCATTACAGAAATTGATAATCATACAAGTATATAATTAATTTACAGTATTGCCCTTTTTTATTTATGTATACTTTGGTAGAGCATTATATTAATAGTAATATCGTTGTTAAACTTAGTACATTAATTACTCTTATAAATGAACTCAACTTGGTTAATCTTTTAATTTTTATACAATGGTTATTTTTAGTAACATCATGCATGATAAGTATTGCATAATTCAATGATACAATAATTCAATGATGGTTTAATTTTTTTTACAGAAAATGTACCCATAATAATTGCTGATCTCAAAGATGAGGAATCATTGAAAGAAATGACAAAACAAGCCAAAGTACTAGTTAATTGTTGTGGCCCATATCGATTTTATGGAGAACCAGTTATTAAAGCTTGCATTGCTACTCGTACTCACCAAGTTGATGTCAGTGGTGAACCACAGGTCTTGTTATAAATCTGTTTTTATTAAATGTTCATAAGTGGTGGTACCAAGAAGCCTATCAATCACACCTTTTGACTCTTTAATCCTTTATTTGTATTACAGTTTATAGAGACGGTACAACTCAAATATGATAAAGAAGCTAGAGAAGCTGGTATCTATATTATAAGTGCTTGTGGATTTGATTCTATTCCAAGCGAGCTTGGTATAATTTTTACTCAAGACAAGTTTAACGGTGAAGTCAATACAATTGAATCATATTTAACTACTTGGACAACCACAAAAGTAGATAGTGCCAGGTTACACTATGGTACCTACGAATCAGCTGTTTATGGTATAGCCCATCATAATGAGTTACATGAATTGCGTAGCAAGTTGTATCCGGAAAAGTTACCCCCGTTCCAGCCTAAATTGAAAAAGAGGTTGGGAGTAATAATATCTCTCATAAGTACACTTAATTCTGTTTTTATATGGATTATTTTTGCATGATTTTGATTTAATATAGTCTAGAAAAAAAAGTAAGTGTATTTTGTATGATTTGTTTGATCTAACGCGAATCAATAAATTTAACATTTTAAAAATATTCACTTAAGCGTAAGTGTCCAAGAAATAATATTCCCGTTTATTTTTCTGGGAATTTGCACTTAGTTAAAAAAATTTCTTCATTGGTTTATCGTATTATTATTACTGGTTTTTACGATGTGAAGACAATCCTCAATTTTTGCATATCTATGGTCTATATTTTGCATGTATCGTGTAAAAACAGAATTGAATGCATACGTATGTAGCCGTTCCTTGTTTTCTAATATTAATAATACTTATTTCAGGGGCTTGCTTCATAAATCTATTTCGAATGGATGGTCCATGCCATTTCCAGGGTCTGATCGTGCTATTGCACTACGCACACAACGATTCTTCTATGAAAAATATAAACAAAGACCTGTACAAATTGGGTCATACGTTACATTCAAGTAAGTTTCTAATTTTCAATCAATATAAAATAAGAATTTAGTATTAATTAATATTCATGTTTTAATAACAGTTCGTTATTTACTGCTTTGACAACTATTATTTTTGGTGTTATTTTTGCGGCATTGTCCAAATTCGAATTCGGCCGCAACTTATTGCTGAAGGTATATTGTCTTTTTTGTATTTTCTGTAGTATTACGTAATAGTAACACGTGATGCTAACATTTTGTTGAATCTCATGTAGTATCCTTCATTTTTCTCTTGTGGATACGTAAGTTATGAAGGTCCATCGAAAAACGTAATGGAAAATACTCACTTCGCAATGACATTTAAAGCAGAAGGTTGGACCGAAAAATCGGCTGAGCCTACCGATAAACATAAGGATCCACCAAATAAAGTTTTAATCACTAAAGTCACTGGTGTCGATCCAGGATATGGTGGCACATGCACGATGCTATTGCTTTCAGCCATGACCATTCTTAAAGAATCTGATAAGATACCAGAGAAGTATGTTTAGACTTTCGTTTCATTTATGGTGTATGTTTCGAAATGGACCCTGTCGTAAAGATTAATTACATCGATTTATTATTTTAGCGGTGGTGTTCTGACTCCTGGTAGTGCATTCGCTAAAACATCATTAATTGAAGAATTAAACAAGAAAGACATCAAATTCGAAGTTGTTTCATCTATTGAGACGAAATAATGATATAATTTTACCGTACGATGGTGGTAGTGGGGGGACATGAAAACATGAAACTTTAGGTTTGGTTACAGTATTAGAAATTGATACTAATCTTTTCATCTTTCTAAGTAACATCGATTGTCTAGAAACATATTTTTTATAACAGCATTTTTATCTCGAATGATACATTTATAACCATTTATAAGGAAATCCATATTTTCTTAAACCGTTAGACTGAATTACAGACCGTATAAATAGTTTTTTCTACCGAAACATAAAATAGTCTTTCAGTGCAACTACTATTTCCATTTTGTGATATTTCATTTCAAGATATATATTATATTAATCTACTTTAATTTTGTTTGTACTTAGATGTCAGAGTTTATAATTGACAAGTATATATGTCTGTTGGTAATATATTTTTGTTGCATTCACTAAGTTTTAACTGCAAAAAATGCTTGTCTTGTAATAATTAAGAATAGTTTATTTTCACGTGGTAATGTTGAAATGGTGAAATATACACATTAATGAATAGAAACCATATGGTTCGCTTTTTTAACGCACATTACGCGTTTTGATGTTCGTAACTTGTTACAGTTAAGACTTCAATTATTTAAAATATATAGCATGTTAATCTTTTGTATTGCCAATAAATACATTTTTTTCATTCCGAAACAATTTGTACTGCAACCTTGCAATATTATAGCATTACAAGGAGCAAGATACACGTATAAACAATTTACATTCAACCAGTGTATGAAAGATATAATTGACACGAGCGCACAATAAAAATTGTCTCATTTCATAACACGCTCGATACCTCCGAGCAACTAGTTTATATAACAAAAACAACTACTAAATTTTAATTCATTGATTACATTATATAACATAAGATTGTGAATGACTGCTTTCATTTTACAAAACTAATAAGTGCTGGTATACAATCTGTATCATTTTGCCTTCGTTTTTACCATACATGTACTTTACATATACGATAATTTATCATAAACAGAATAGTACTCTAACTTATTAATAATGTATAATGAGAGACAAAACAAAATTAACTTACAACAACGGGAATATATCATATGATAAAGTCGATTGAGATAACTTGTATATTTTCATCCTTTTTTTTTATACGTGTATTTTTGTATAATGTCAAATTCACCAAACTCGGTCAGTAGTGTCGCATGACGCGATTTGGTCTGTACGAGATGAGTAACGAATGTCAATGGTTACTCGCAATGGAAAAATGTGCTCAAACATGCGACATTTAATTACTCCGTTTTTCTAACCGTCACAAGGACTGTAAGTACTTATAGTCTTCGCCCGTTGCTTTGTTCTTTCAGTAAGCGTTTAAACTGTCTCCACTGTGGTAACAAATTGAGCGTGATACAGGTAGAAGGAGCCTATCAAACGTTTTTCGACCTTACTCGGTGGATATATAAATCTGCTGTCCGAAACCAAGCTTAGTGCACGACACACTCTCTCTAAAGGGAGTCGATTGTCGATTACAATAATCGTTGAAATCGATAATCGCACGATCCGTTATTTTTAGTTGTGCAAGTGACTCTAAGGGACATCTACATGAACGGACACGCGAAAGACCTCATCGAAAATCGTACCTGTCGCTTAAAGAGCGACGGTAAGTGTATTTTTTAATATTTTTAATTCTTATAGATTCACTGATCCTTCAAATGTGATTCCAAATTCCATAACATTCAGTACTATGTAAGATTAATGGGACATATGTCGTAGTTTGTGTATGTGAAGTTGCTATTACTTTGTTGTACTTGTAGGTGTATATAGAATTTCTGTAATAGTTCTTGTAGGTTTAAAGTAAACTACTAGTGATACTTGGATTCATGGATACCTATAAGATGCATTTATAGAATTGACGGCTGTTTGAAACTCGATGTAGGAAAAAGTTTGAAACAGTTTAATGAGACCTTTATTTAATTTGAAATTTGGTCGACATTCATAGCCCAATTATGACTCTTTACAAATATGCATGAACAGTGGTAAATCATTAAGTTTTTTTACTTATTTTCATACTCTGTATTAGTTGCATCAGTGTTTAATTTTTTATAGAAATGATATCTTGAGGATCACATTACCCAGATAGAACACAGACGACTTAATGACGGCTTAAAGGCGCCTCAAACCTAAAATAGGCATCTTGAAGGCGTCATGTACTATCTGCGTTAGCCCTCTTTACTTTCTGCTTGCAAATTGTAGAATCTTGTAAATAGTTTGAATGAATTTATAGTCTCATTTTAGCCTTATTTTCAACTTTCAGAAAGTCTCTAATACAGCAAGTAAGTATCTCGTTAATTCCTATCACGAAAAACAATTTAGAAAGTCAAAATTTGTGGAAACATCCGCGATGGATTCATATATACCGTTTTGAAAAGAAATTTTCAAATAAAGTAACACCATTTTTATACACTAATCGCGATCGGTGACAGTACAGCGGCTTACATGGTGTGTAGTCTCGTTAGAAATTTCATTGAACGTCAGACCAGAAACGTATAGATCTCCGTGTCACACCTTCCCGTATCTATTGCAATTTCTTTTCACCGTGCGTCGTGTTACTCGCAGATTCGTATACCAATCATATTAGATGTCACCGAAACGATGTTGGGAAACGATATCAGGTGTCTGTGCTGGGGAAAACGCGAAATGCGAGTGATAAATATCAGGTGACTCTATTGGGGTGCAGCACGCGCTAGAGCAGAGAACTTGAACACTGTATAGAATTTCCAGTTGTCACAACACCGAATAAAGATTCATGAAAATTCTTTTGAATTATTATGCGTTATCATTAATTCTGTACATCGAGTCATTTACTTAGACTTTAATGTTGCAAATTATTTGTTGCAAACTCACATTTTGAATGATTGATTAATCATAATTGAAATTGCACGAAGATTTATGACACGTACTAAAGCTTTAGCTGAATAAAAAATAGAATAAGAATAGTTATAAATATATTACATATGTAAACATATGACAGCTCTGTGAAGCCTTGTAGACGCCTTAAATGCGCCTTACACCTAAAATAGCCATACAATGGACGTCTGCAAGACGTCATGTGCTATTTGGGAGGTACTGGACTCATTTGTCTATAATATAGATTATTATAAATCATACATAATCAAATATAGTATGGTCCACCAACTGGTTCGAAATGTGACGATGCATAATTATATGCATATAAACTTCATACACACGGTGGGAGCATACCTAAAAAACTACGTTATTTAAGCCAGAAAGTGTTTCGAAATATTCAGTCGGTAATGTAGGCCCACAAATGGCTGACCATCCTGACATAGATTTCACGATATCACGTTTATACCCTGTTACAGTAGATCACCAATAAAATAAAAACATTGATCCTGAGCTAAAATGTTCGTTTCAGTTTATTACGCACATTCATACGTTCTGTAAATGTATAAAGCCTGCAATTAAAAATAATCTTTGTGTATAATACATAATAACTGAACAAACTGAGGTTCAAAGATCAATCCATATGTTTGTAATATTGCAGCTAGGAGTGTTTGTACCAAAAAGAAATCAATTTTTTTTAACATTGATGCTGACTAAGAAAACGATTTGAGAAATGAAATAACCGAATCCATAAAAAAAAACCGTATTTTTAAGAGGTTTCAGTGTTTTGCCCAAATTGATTAATTCCATTAAAGGAGGAGAATCGCGGCAATCTTTGATGACATTAAGGATGTATCGGATCTATCTTCAAAATGGTATGAAGTCAATAAAAATTTGTGAGATTGTTCTTTTAGTCTAAGATTCTACCTCCGATACATCCTTACAAAACCATGCGATTCGACATTTTTCTCCGCGTTTCTAATTCGCAGAAACTTTACGATAAACGCACACATTAATGTATTATTGAAACACAGTCACGCTCCAATTAGTCCTGCCGCTATGCGGAAGGCGTTGTCATCCGTCTCGGACGTCTCTTTCGCTTCCATGGCCGCGCGTAAAAACCGCGTCTTACATTGTTCGGGGTGTAAGTAGATCCCATTCGTCGATCGCCTCCAGCCACGCTGCTCCTGTGGCATTGATTTGCCTTCTGTTGTTATGTGAGAACGACCTCGAGAATTCTTCGCCGATAATAATGGTATATAACTTCGGTTTTCTATGCGATTTCCATTCCGTCACTTTTTCTTCCGTTTTCAAGGGAACCTGTACCCGCGATCGCAAAAACTTCGTCGCGCACTCATTGCACGGCGAGCCGACCATGGTTTAACCCTTTGTACTCCGAGTGTGTTGCAAAAGAATTAAATAACGCTGGGACGGTCTCTCTGGCATTTTCACGGATCTATCGAGCCGTTATTATAGATCTAATTGTTCCCCCGGTGTACACGTGCCCAACACAATCGATAATTATCGGACGGTATACCGACCAGGCTTCCAGGAACTTGGTCTCCGTATTGATTGCGAGTCGCGAAGGTCAGCTGGCACTTGTACCTCGTTTCAGAAGTGCGACTAGAAATACCGACGAGGGGGACCCGGTTGAATCCAATTTCCCGCGCTTTTGTACAGCTTTGCAGGAAGTAAGCATTGAAATGCACCGTATCCCCTTTTGAACAGGATGATTTTAACACGTTCGCCGGGACACCGTCAGTTAGTGGTTGCACGCGACGTAGAAATTTTCAGGCCTTAATTGGTTCATACCGTTAAACAATACGTGTCTAACTATGGTTATTAGATTGCTGATTGTATGCGTTTGTAATGTACACGATTGTTCGAAAATTAGTGTAGTAAGAGTTTCATCAATTTGAACACTTTGCACGCCGGGATTTTCCTATTACTGTTTCCGTAGTATTCATTACCTTTCTCGTTCGATGACTAATAGAATATTTAATATTCTTCTTATGTGATGTTTTTAATGTATATATGGTTCTTGTAGATTTTATATTACGAAGGAAAGATACCAAATTAGTAGGATAGTATGATTAGTATGAGTGTGGAATTAAATACGTGTGAATGAGGTGTTTAGTTTATTTGAAGTCTGATAAAATCGTTAACAGACTAAACAAATTTCTGCTTGAGTACGTCACCTTCAGGGAAATAGAGTGACTGATCATTTTCGGATAAGTGTCCAGATAGAATTGTTACAAATTCTTTTTTAGAACACTTTTATGATCTTTTCTGTCTGCTAATCATTGCCAGAAAATTGATTAAAGTTTCGTAAAGTGTAAACAAAACTTAATTAACAAGTTTAATCAAAAACTTCAAAGTTTAAATGCAGTTAAGGAAGTGAGTAGGATTCCATTCCCGCCCACTGTCTACTTTATGTTGGACAAACTTTAATTAATTACATTGTTGCAACAAACGATTCGTCAGAAGCAATACAGTGCATAATGTAATTTAACGCACGCTTAATATGCTTTGTTGTTAAATTTTATTCATAAAAGTATAATCAAATGATTCAATCAGTGAAATTCCACGTTTTGTTTATCGTAGCCTAATAAAATTGAGTACATATATCGGTGATTGAAGCAAGCATAGAAGAAAAATTGATTTTAAAATAAGACGTTACTGACCATTCATGCTTTTATATTATAATTGTTAGAATCGTGAAGATGTAATGTACATACGTCATTGGCTCCCAGTTCGATCTCTGAAAAAGACGTCATTCAATCGCATAACTTGTTAGCATTTCATCTCATACGTATTTCTGCAAGTACGTACGTAGATAATTTTAACATTTCTACGTGATAGTAAATTGAAACAGTGTGATAGAGGTTCTCAATCTATTATTACGAAGTATAATAGGCGTACCGTAACTTCAATGGTTGGAGTCTGCCTTCGAGTCCTTCGTAGTCTAATAGCTTCGATGGAATATCACGATAGCCTCATCGACGTTTAAACTTAATTACTGAAACAGGGAATGGCCAGTTGAACGCCGCCATCATAGCTTTAATTATTGTTGGTACCTACTAATTATCTATAACAACTACTTATAATGGCACATCAATATCGTGTTACGCAGGCTAGTTTCAGGGACACTGTATATCCTTATACTCTGATTTCACACAATATTACTGTAACAGTATTTAGAACGGTCAAAATAGTTACAATATTGAATCAAAAAAGTTATAATGGTTTAAATGTGTATGTTTATTGATGGCAGAGAGATATTTTTCATGTTTCCCGGTTTCGTTGTATGTACCTTTTATGAAGCAAACAAATTAACACTAGGTTTACGGGACGCGTCATTTTGACGCATTTCGAATGCTTTCTAACCTCGAAATTCTCTATGTGGTTTACCTATCTCTATTGCTATGCATTAATTTCAGAGATCATAAATTGTGTATTATATAAATAAAATAAGTTGTGTTTTAAAGAAAATCTGCGGGTTCGTTGATGCGTGCCGTGGAGATACCTACACGATAAGTGCCCATAAACCTAGTGTTAATCTTGAATGCTCTGCCTTACGATATATGTATATACATCGCGTAATTGATTAAAGAGTAAATATTGATATGAGCAAAACAGTATTTCACTTTAAAAAAATCAAATACCGGTAAAAAGTAATTCGATTGTTAAATTAGACTGAAATAAGATGGCGGCGCTTCACCCATTGTTTAACTAAGAATCACTAACAAGGAAGGATTTTCAGGTGTCAGCCTCCAATTGCAGTAGTTATAATCATACCCATACCATATTCCTACTTATATTTCTCGATTCTCTTAAACACATCCGAAAATCAAAGCAATCAGAGGCGGATACCTGAAAACCCTTCCTTATAATAGATAAAGACGTTTTTTTGGGGGGTGGGGGGAAGACAATTTTTTATACTTCACAATGTTCATCTAACTGATTCACTGAATACCTACATGCTTCGAACCCGGTGCGCGCAAGGTGCATTAAAACCTTCTGCGAATAGAAGGAAAAGGGAAGTGCTTGAGGAACCGGTCTCTTGGAAATTACGATGACGTAGTTTCTGACTCGCGCTCTGAAAACCCGGCGGAGTTGAATTTTTCTGTCTTCTTATTACGATAGCACGTCGACATTTTCTTGGATTTCTACTCTCCACCGATTAATTACCGTAAACTACTGGTAATTGCACTTGCTCGGAATAAACAATCACCAGACTACTTTGTTGAGAAATTATGGCGAATAACAAAAGTATTCAAACACATTTCAGTCTTATATACAGAATAAATTAAACGTGCCATTAGCCAGGTTATCAGTCACGGGGGGCAAAAATATTAACACATCGACTGCCACAGTGAAAAAGGCTGTACGTAGCCAGACACACTTTATTTTGTTTTTAGTCATAAATCGTTGAAAATGTAAGCGTGTTGTTAATAGAGGCTGTTGGTCGTGTTTCAAATTATACTGCAATATCAAATAATACGCAAAAATTGTATAACTCTGGGAGGGGGGGGGGGCAAAATCCAACTTTTTCTTGAAGGGTGGGACAAAAGCCACTTTTTTCTACTTACTAAATCAAAGTACGATAAAAGATAACTTGATCGGTCCAGCGTAAAGTATACGTGATTCAACGAGGAGTGCTTGCACCGTAAGTAAACGTGACAACGTACACTTCGACATTATATTCCATGTATTCTCATCCATCGTGTAATTATAAATCATAATTGCGTTAAGAACCGATAAACATCGGTACGCTAAAACGTAACCGTGCCGTGTCGACCTCGCGCACCAGATATGTACCAGATACACGAACGCGTTCCGCCAATCGGGGCGCTACGTGTCGCATCAGAACTATTAACGTACCGACACGGTAATAACGTCCGCGGCACTACGGTCCCCGCGAACCCCTGGGTATTTCCCTTTCGTACTTTGAAGGGGGAGGATCGTGTCGTTGGAGAAGGGAGTCGTCGTGGATCCTCGCTCACCCATGTCACTCTCACCGTACCGCGGTTGCATTCTCCCGATATATACCGAACGGGACGCGACGTTCAGCTGGTCAGTCGCGGAATCTTGCTTTTCGGGGGCCGTGTCGTGTCGCGGCGGCGCAACCTACGGTCAAGTTTATAGATAAAGAGACGACCGAGGAAAAAAAAAGGCGCAGAGTATACGCTGGACAGGAGACAGACAGAGACAAAGTGATTCAAGAGAGAGAAAGAGAGAGAGAGAGAGAGAGAAACGAAGACGGAAGAGCCATAGGGGACATTCGCAGTCGCCACGGGTCCGCCGGTTCAGTCACACTGCGTCACTCGGCCGTGCGACTTCGCGGTCCTTCTTCCTTTCGGACTCCTCGTCGGCCGGATTTTTCTTTTTTAAGTTTCGCGTCCTTACCTCGAGCTGCCGGTGTACTAGTTCCTCCTTATTTCCGCTCTTGCTGTTCGATCAGTTTCAATCGTTAGTTCGAGTCCTGTGAAAGAGAAGGAAAAAGTTGACGAGATCCGAGGACTGCTACGGTGAAACGAGTGATCGAAACCGACTGACAGTAAGTTTCATCAGTTTCACGTTGGAATCCTGATCCCCCTGGTGTTTTGAGGACTACACGCGCTCCGATCAATCACGTGGTGGACGCGTTGATCTTCACCCGCCATCGAATTCTGTATATCGAACACGATTTTTTAATGAGAAAGCATTTTTTTTCTAGTAATATTAATAATTCTTTATACACACCGGTAATTAATGATCAGAGTATGGATGTTTGTGCATTTATAACTTGTACACGCGTGTGATGCATAGTGGTATCAAAAGTTGAATGAAGTTTTTATTTGGAAACCGATGACATTCTTTACAGAAGAAATAAATGTCTAAGTTCTGTCTTCTAGAATTTGGTTAGAAGAATATGAATTTGCATGGGTATTTGTAAATGCATAGTGTAAATAGTGATTGGTTCTCACCAGTTGGACGATTCAATTTTCCCGCGTTACTTCACGTCGAAGACCGGAATAAGAAAAATTGAACTTCAACTTAGTAATTAACTTCCACTGTGAGTAAGAAAATTCAGCAGTAATAATAGAGCTATATAAACTCGTAGTAAATTCAAAAATAAAATGATGGTTACCTATATCAGCATGTAACCATGTATATTTATGTTTCATTTTTGGCAGTTTTGAGTAATATCGTTGATTGCACTGTCCCAGATACTTTTATTAGCACTTTTCTTTGGAGAATTCCAATGAATAACTTACAATCATTTTAAACGAGAAATCTAGTGTATATCTAGTGACAAATCGAAACAATTTTTATTTATTACATTATTCGAATTAACAACTACCCTGCAAACATTCATGTAAACAGAAATTTTTACATACTACCTGACAGAAACAAAAATCAAATAAATGTTGTATAAATCATGTCAAATAATATTTGTTTACGAATACTTCGTAAAGCTTCGTTAAACATTCGACAATACCAAATTTCAAACAATCGCGTACACTATAAATGCATGAAATCCACAAATCTAGAAATTGCAATACGTTTCATAGAAAAATTGAGGAAAAGAAACTGCGAGATCGGTTCAAATTCGACTTCATTTTCGGCATTTTCGTGAAATACGCGATACCCCATCGGAACACTTTCCAGTCCGCGTTTGAAACTGACACCGATAAATCGCGCTCGCCGCCGAGTTATTATGGCGAATAGTAACGCATAATAGTTCGATAACACGTTATTGTGTCGGATTCCCGGCGTAGCGTTCCTAATATCAGCACCTCCGATCCCCCGTCCCACATACGGTGCCTTTTTCCCCGTCGTCGAGACGCTTTCGGTGAATTTTTGTCGAGCGCAGTTCTGTTTATACCAGGGACTTCTACCGAAACGTTAAATACCGGTATTATACCGATATTTTCGATTGTACACCCACGAGCAAACTCGGCTTCCGCTAGGGGAAAAAGTAACGTAGGAAAAGGGACTCCTATCACTTGGTATTGGGAATTATTGAAATTTATGCCAAATTAACATTCGGTTTAACATTTATTTCAGTACTCGAAATAAACTTACTAAATGGTAGGAGACTTTTCTTATACGCCATTTTTACCTCTAACGGAAGCCGAGTTTGCACGTCAGTGTACCTTCGCTCTATATAACCCTATATAAGCCCTACCCTTAAAGAAACCCAAAAAACATCGGTATTTATTTCGCTGTTCGGTAATATATCGGTATCGGTATATCTTTGATAGCATAATACCGGTATCAAAATCATACCGGTTTAAGTCCCTGGTTTATACTCGAAACCAAATCCCTCGGTCGGTTTAGAAGCGATCAGACAAGAAACCGTTTGGAGCCGGCCAGCCATGAACGGGATCACGAAGATCAAGGAGAAGAGCTATTACGACGGCGATGATGACCGTGCCATGGTGATTAAGAAGCCAGGTCCGTTGAGGACCGTCTCCTGGACGGAGAACGTCGAGGAGAGCAACTTGGATGTGCCGGGAACGCCCAGGACACCGCGTACATCCACAACCCCAGGTATCGCTGATAGTGAACTTGCTTGATCATTTCGCATCGTTTTGTGCGGGATCTCGATGGTGTACGGGGGGAAGCAATTTTCTTGCGTGTTTAGGGAGAAAAAATGGTGCAAAGGTAAATACGGTTGGGGGTAGTACTTAATTATTGCATGGCTGTGAGGGGTGTTAAGTCGCGTACTCACTAAGCGAGCGAGCACAAGCGAGACGAACACGTCCTTCTTTTGATGTACCGACACGAATCGGATCATTCAGCGGTACACACCAAACGAGCACTGAGTGAGAATGCTCGCTCGCTTGGTGAGTACGCGGCTTTAGGAGGTGTATGACTCCTTTGTTGGGAACTGTAATGGTCGAGATTTGGGTTCAACACTGGTGAAATGTACCTCGAAAATTCATTTCAAGGTTATCGCTACTATTGAGGTGTTGTTTACATTATTCGGGGGTTTCGTTCTTTACTGTTAACCCCTCCGTTCTTGCGATCAGTTCACCGCCGACCTTTTCATTGAATAGTGGCTGTTTTGTGGATACGTGTAGTTTTTCTAGTATTTCATTTTCGTGTAAAAAAACGAGGTGTGTTGGATTGAGTAGAATTTTCGCTTGTGACGTTCATTCATTTTTCTAGTATTCGATTTTTGTGTTAAAAGACGAGGTGTGTTGTATTGATTCGAATTTCCGGCTGTGATGTTCATTAAGGCACGAAGTTCTAACGAGTGTCAGTGTCAAAGTCGAAATAATGAACACCCACTGATATTGTACTACATACCTCTTTCCATCGATCGTGGGTATTCGCACAGTGCGATATGACATTTGGTTTATCAGTTATTAGTTTTCGTTGTTGTACACAATCAGACAAACCTGTTTAGCGGTACGAGACAGAGTTACTAATCAAATTGCATCAGTTAGTATTTTTAAAGTGCTTCGACATTTACAACTCGATTTCGTTGTACTGTGATAAACATTTCAATTTTAAAGTGTTGTGTAATAGTTTAAGTGTTAGTGTGTTATTATTATCACTACATACTTTTAAGATAAATAATTTGTCATTGGTATTGCAATAGAAGTAAACAGCAGGTGACAAACACAATAGGGAACACGGTCACACAGGAGACAGTACTTTCTCATTAAAAGATAGACATATGTACACTATTTGTTTTAATGCAATTGTTTAAGTATATTTTGAATACACATGTGTACCTACTGCTGTTTACTACCGCTAAAAACCGTTTAACCATTTGCTACAAAAATGAACTCGACCTTTCCAATAAAAAAAATACGAATTGTCTGAGATTTCCAATTATAGAATACTAACAATATCATATTTTGATTTTCTTTTAAATGATTTTCAACGAACGATCAAATATTTTGACACAATGGCGTATTTAAAAATCGTGCACTTTAACAAAACTATGTTAATTTGTGTGAAATTTGTAATCATTTACAGGTTCAACATTACAATAAAGTTCCGCTCGCTTTATTCGTTGCTGTCTCATTGTTCCTACGAGCGAAACACGCGAGATAGATACAGAAAGAGAGAGAGAGAGAGAGAGAGAGAGAGAGAGAGAGAGAGAGAGAGAGAGAGAAAGGGAGAGACAGAAAGTCGCATACACGCCGTACACGCATTCGACCGACTTTTTAATTTAATTTCGTGCAGCGTTGCTATCATTGATCAAGATCGCGGCCCGTGAAAAAGATTTGGAGAGCACTCCGCCATAGTTCTCGTTTCCGGGTCAATCTGAACCGTTGATCTCAAAATGATAAAAAGCCTGGGAACTGTTCGGGTACAGTTATGGTTGTGCGTAACGCGTAACTGTAACGTTACGAATGTACAATCGTCGTAGCATGACTATCGACTTTCTATGGGAGAACGCCTTTTTTTTCTTGTATCTTCTTTTTTGTTTTGTTTTGTTTTCGTATTTCGGGGCGGAAAGAAAGGAAAAATTCTGGTGTGCACCTGTCGCGTCATCGAGCCGACTCTCGAGAACGGACACCGTTGTGGACGCGTCCTTCTCGATCGAACAATGATGAATCATCACGTTCATTCCTTTTCCTTTGTCGACTGGCATTTCGTAATTTAATTAGTTATCCCCCATTGATCGATTATCAACGATATATAGAGTTCTTTCCGCTTAATCGTGCAATTCTTTTGAGTGCCTCTGGTAGGATGGAGTCCGCCATCTTTGAAATTAGTTCTTCATGTTCAGCAAGTTCAACCCTTTACGGACGCGTGTCTACGGACAGTGGTTCAAGCGTGTTTTAAAGGAAATGAAATTTAATTAACTAGTAAACTAGTTAATAACTTTTTAACTTTTCTAGCAGCCCGCTCTAGACTAATTATGATTTGTGTGACGTTTTCTTCGAAGGGAGGAAAATGTTTTCAACTCACGAGTCTTGTCTTATCCGTGGATTAAATTTTTTTAAACAATTAATTTCGATTTCTCCAGAGCATATTTCCGTTTGATCGCATCAGTTTTGTCTCGAAGGATCGAAGCAAAACAGCTCCAGAATTCAAAGATTTCTCTCGTACTTTTTTAAATCATATTAGAATAACTGAAAAAGAACGGTGACCATTTGATAAACGGTTTTTTGGGTAAACTGTCTAGGAGATTCACAATTTCATATACAGGGTGATTAAAAAAAATATTTTAAACAAAACTTGCATGGTGTCAAGGGTAACATATAATGCAATAATATGTTTTTTACTATGTTTCATTTTTATTAAAATCTAACGGTCACCTTTAATTTTTTAAATGAAATATCCAAAATTTCTTTCCGAATTTCAATAAAGTATGAAATACTGCATACAAACTATTATATCACATACTTACCGTCTGAAGTGAGCAGTAGTAAATTGCTTGAAATATATTGCCGAAATTCTTCCGATTAAAATGAAACGAAACATGACATATTTTGAACCATATTTCTTTATCAATGATAAAAATGTAACATAATAAAAAAATTGATACCATGCAACTTTTGTTTAACCTATTCTTTCATACAGTCAATAATTTACGAGTAATTGAGGTGGTCCCGTTAGGAGGACCACCCTGTGTGTATCAATAAAAATCGATGAAACAATATCATCTATGTCCTCTCGTTCTGTATTTAGGAATTTTCGATAATCAACGTTCTATTGTAAAATATAAAGGAAGCATCTATTAAATTTTCCAATATTTCCTACAAATCTAGTGGATTCTTAGACACACCATCTCTTGAATACATATGCAACGATGTTTTCCATTTCGAACACGCGCATGAATAATTCTTTCAAAATGTGCACATACAATTAGATCCTCCGAGACTCATAAGTCACACACAAGATTACCGTCCCCGTAATTTCTCATTGCGAGCACTAATCGATTTTCCAACAATCGATCGGTAATCGTTAAAAACTCGTGGAACAGAAATTCTCGATCAAGTGTGCGCAACGTGAACGTCGTCTACTCGATCGAATTACGCGATACGGTTCATTAGCAAGCGATGGTATAACTTAGTTTTCCGTCGTGAATACATCAGTTCCAAAGCCTGCCTTGGATCCTTCACGCCTCCGCGGAATAAGTCTATACAGAAGTCGCCCCCCGTCAGCCGTTCCCACCGTTAATACCGCTCCAGATTGGGCCGTCCGTGAGCCACGCTCTCTGATCGAGCGTTATACAAGCGATAAATTATTTCCAGAATAAAGATGAAGATCTTCGGGCGTTCGCCGCGCAGTCTTTAATCGTTATCCAACAAGTTCGACAACAGGCGCAAGCCCATCGACCGCGTGAAACGAAAGTGTAATAGACGTGAAATAATGATTCTTTAATGTTTACTTCGCAAATATTAGCCTGGTGCATATGAAATGTCGTTCTCACGAATTGAAACTGTAACTACACGTAAGTGGTTTCCTCAACGGTTATTGAAACCCCGTTTCTCTTGGTGTTTGTCGTGGATTATTGTTGGATTGTTGTATAGTATTTCGATAACTATTTTGTGCGGTCTACGGTACCTTAAAGTTATACGCATTCTGTACAGCTTTCCAAGCAATAGAGGCGGGCAAATTCATTTTCCGGGTAAAGAGCTTCGAATAACGAATACAAAATTTTTAAAAAGTACCCATTTCGTCATTTTTAATTGATTAACTGTAAAAATTAACGTTTTTTCCTGATATTGTTTCAGTGATTCAAAGGAATATTGTCGTACTAACAAGACAATGTCTGTTTCGTGTCCATGTCTAGCAGAACTACAGAGAGGTCAATGAGTATCTTGCAATGCATACGTAATGTTCCTCAAGGACAGTGCATGTTCGCCGGATCGATTGATTTTTTTTCTTTTTTCCAGTAAAAGGGTGATTAAGATATCGACACAAGTGAATATATAAGCAAAAATGAATCACTCGTTTTTATGAGAAACCGCGAAATTGATTATTATATAAGTATGCATTGAAGTTCCTACGATCGGTGATCCAGGATCCTCTTTTTTGTTCCATGGCGGTGATTGTGGAAATGGTGTAAGTCGTACATTTTGCATTTCGAAAATTCTTTCATAAAATCGATGTAATACAAAATAAAAGAAAAATTAATTTTTTTATCTGCTTTTCGACTTGCACCACTTTCATAATCATCGATACGGTTTATGCTGGTTAACGAGAAAAACGCAAATGGAATATGATTAAACACTTTGACTGCGATGGTGGTCACCGGTGAACCGGAGACATTAGTATTACACGAAGAAACATTTAATATCTCAGCATCTCGTAAATACACAGTGACTTACATATACCTACACAAACTTCTGAAATAACAATTAGGTGTCTAAACTTTTATGCAATTTCTATTTATATATTCTCCTTGTTATAACTTTTACTATCTTTTTGTAATCAATTTTTCTTAACTTTGAAATAAAATTCGCATTTTGGTAAATAATTTGGTCAAATAGAGGTAACAGCTTTTCGAGGTCAAACTTGTCATGAAAAGTCACTGAAATTAGCAGTAAAGTAATAATTAAAATGAGGATTGCTCAAATCAACGCGTAGGCATTTCTTAACAAATGTATTTTATTATGATATTATTACAATACTAAAACTGTGACCGTCGACACGTTAAGGATGAAATGAGATTATTCTATAAAAGTTGCCATTTCCTTACAAATATTTTGCAAATAATTATTAATCGATATACTGCAAGTATTAAGCGATTATCGCCTGTTTTAGACAACACTGAACGCATCATGTTACACTCAAGAATGATTGCGATCGTTGCTCGATGCTTCGTACGAGATTTCATCGATCGATTGTTACCGCGATGCTCAATTAAGGCATTACGTTAACACGTTCGCCAGCAAAAGTCACGTATATCCGACACTTCAATTTCTAAGACAGTATATTTGATAAAAGCAGAATTTGTTTTGCAATATTCACCTATATCTTATGTTAATTATCTTTGATTTATGTATTTTTAATATCTAATCAAGAAAGTAAGGGGGAGACCTGTAGAGTGGTGTGTGACGAACATTTTGAGCAAAAAGAAAAATAACAGAAACAAAACTGGTCTCGAGAATTCTTAATGAATTACTTACTGTGTTCCTCGGTTATTTAACCGAAGTATGCAACAGTATTAATATTGTATTGGGAAAAAAAGACTACTTTGGATATCGATTAGAAAGTACATACCTGCGTTTATGAATTCTTTATTAACTACGACGACCATTACTTTTGCATACATCTAATATAAATAATGTCTGCTGCGAATCTCAATTGATGTATCGCATTTTATATAACGTGGAAAAACATTAAACAATTTTATAACAAGTTTTTCATATTTTCCTCGTAGACAAATTGTTGAAGAACCGAAAGTCCAATTAGTTTTTAAGAAACTAGGAGATCATAGTAAAGTGAAAGAAATGAGAACGTTAATGGGTCAGACAAAATATCGAAATGGGTCAATAAAATCGTAGAATACTTGTCGGTAGTTACATCTAATAATAGCAGAATACAATGATATTGATAAACCATTAATCTAACGCGAATTCGGAGTGCAACCATGACATTTTTTAGCCTTCATCTTCTTAATCTTAAGGAAATGTACTTCGTTTGTGTTCAGGAAGACTTGATGGAAGATAAGACCACGTTATCTCAGACTTGTCGACGTTACCAGAGGGGTTTTGTATAATTAAAAAAGGAAAGCTGATTTCTCGTTACCGCACGCGAGACCGATCTGTTGTCGCGAAACGTCAGTCATCGCGGGTCAAAGCGAGCGATAATAACGTTATTGATGTTTATACATCTTCTGCCACGAATAGAATTGAAAACTTGGAACGGGTTTCACAAGCGGGTTCTTTTTCAACTTAAAAATAACGTATTTTTGATGTTACAAAAGTATTGTTACGAGCGAGAGATCTTATTCGTTCAATAACCCCTCTAAAAAAAAACGGAATTGACGCGAAAACGATTAGTCCGTGAACGTGTCGTAACTGAAATCTTGAAGCATTAATTACCTAAAATAATACATAAACTGAACCGATACTAAAATTTATGAGGGAGCAATAAACTTCTTGAACTTTACACCAGAAGACACAAATTTCCAATTGTATTGCGATAAATGAAATGTCTTTTCGAGGCAATAATTCTATAGAATTTGATTAATTTCCGAAAAAACCTGTTTCGATACACTTTATAATGGGTACAATGTTTTTATTGACGATATACATATAATTCATTACAAACTGAATGGTCCCGGAAAAATGAATCGTTTAGATGTATATCGTAATGATCAGAATTGGGCAAAATGTAATCTAATTACAAAATCCAAATCACAATTACAATTACATTGTACTTTTACAATTACATCGTAATTTTTATTGTAAATTTAGAATAGTTAATTACAATGTAATTGTAATTGTTCCGCAATTACATTGTGATTTGGATTTTGTAATTAGATTACATTTTGCCCAACTCTGGTAGTGATCGATAGATCGTATCGAAGCAATAATTCTCGTAAGTTTGATTAAATACGGAGAAAATAATTTGCAATTATATGTCCACTATGAATCCAAACCTTATTAGATCAGTATGTAAATATAATCTGTATCAATGCAAAAAACATAAATTTAGAAATTCATGGCAATGAATCCAAAATCATTGGAGTGAAATTTTCCTAAAATACGATTCAGCGTGAAAAAAAAGGAACAGTCAATGGAGATCAGTGACTCTAAAAGATTCTGTGAAAATATAAGAAAATGTTAGATTGTCTTTTGCTGTTTTACAGGTCATGAAAAATGCACGTTCCATCACGATTTGGAACTGGATCACAGGCCGCCCACACGCGAAGCGTTGCTTCCGGAAATGTCACGGAGTTACAGGCTACTTTTGAGCTCACTCGGCGAAGATCCAGATCGGCAGGGTCTACTGAAAACCCCGGAACGTGCCGCGAAAGCTATGCTTTTCTTCACGAAGGGTTACGATCAGAGTCTCGAGGGTAAGTCGTTTCTTGGATTTTTCTCTTTACGAACGGGAAACTATCTTTCCTGTCCTGAAGCTGTGGACGTTTATGGTAATACAAATATTTTCTGGAGTAACTCACGAAAACAAGAATTACAAACAAGCTATTGAAACACTGAATCAATTACAATTTTAGTATTGAATCCCCATTCGATGCCAGGAACTTACTTTTCTTAGAGTACACTGAATTGTTCTTTGAATCGTGTAGGTGTGTGTTATAATAATGCTTCATGAGTTAATGGAATAGACGTTTGTTAAAAAATAAATTGTACTTTATATAAACCGTTCGGTATTAAATCGAATGACTCGATATTGCGAAAATGTACTGACTCGGAAGAGGTCTAGCGAAGAAAAAGAAAATAGTTTGACAGATCTTGTCACTCGTAACGCAATATACTGACAGTGTTGTCTTATATAAAGGGAGATATGCTCGTATCACGTAATTACATATAATTATGAGTCATTGATTATTGCTTAATACCGAAAAATCGGTTGCAATTCCGTATTGTTACAGATCTTCGTAACTGGTAACTTATTTAGTAAATTTCGTATGTATTAATTTGAAACAAAAGTAAATATTTCCTATGGACGACTTTGATAATTTCAATTTCCAAATATTATTAGATACAATGATATATTTATTTGATCGATTAAGATATTAGATACTTTAAAACTGGTATATAAACGATATTAGTCACAGTTAAACTTTTTTATTTTATTATGTTTTGTACAATTGTATATTTTAGAAATGTAACTATTCTACAGTGTAGCAATTATTATTGTTAGACGGTGGATATATACAAAATTTACACTCTTATACATTATTTTGAAAAAAACAAGGCTTGAATAGAAAAGAGAGGAAAAGAACTAAAATATTAATGAGACATTTAAGTTCTAAGAAATTAGGAAAGCATTACTGGGTATATACTGGAAAATTGTAAAAAGAAAACAGATGTAAAGGAAGGTTCATAGGGCGATAAGTTGGAAGTTGAAATGAAAATGAAATGCAAACTATTTCGTAGATAAAAGTGTATGTTTTTGTCGTGTGTTACAAAGTAACGTAACAACCATTAATTTAACAACGACAGAAAGCGATAAATTGACGATGCATATATTCGGAAAAATGTGTTCATGATTTTACTGTAACTTACCTGTATAAAGCAGAACGTAATTTGTTAAATGCGAAGAAGAATTGTCACAGAACATTTTTTTCTTTTTCAGAAGATTAGTCCTTTCTGTTTGGTCGACAAGCAAGACTTCATGAATAAATTGTAGTAAATTCGTAAACACATTTACCTGAGCATCTGCATTGTTAATATATCGATTTCTGTATGTTAATTAATTCGTCGTTAAAGTTGTTAAGTAAATCTGTAAATGCATAGCAATCCACTGTCCAGTTATCAGATTTCCCAAGAACTCGAGTCAAAACATAATGTATAACCGCAAAAAACTAAACGAGCGAATCCAATGCCTCCAGCGAATCCGGAATTAAAAATCGGGGAATCGAATTTCGAATCAATCGAATTCTCCTCGGGGATAAGACAGATGAAATATGAAACCAGGAATAGACCCACTCGAGGGAAGTGCCGCACTTTTCGTTCTTTCTACTCCAACCAGCTCGTGGATCCGTCACGCGGAGAGAAAGAGGAAGACTTAAGTACGATTGGAAAAAAGAGAACGCGAAGCTCCACGATATAAATGGGTCTCAGGGACGCGGAGCGGCCCGAGAAGAATACCTTTCACCTTTTCCTTCCATTTCACGTGGACAAAGTATAACAGCCACTGTTCTGAAGTAATTACGAGCTCGCGTAATAAAATACCATCGTCAACGGGTAGCACGGGGATCGCTAATGATTCGACCGTCCTCGCTTCTTCCGTTACTATTCCCCAACTGTGTCCTAACTATCTGGACCGTCTGAAAATTTCAGATTTCACGATACAAAGATGAAACAATACACTATCAGATGCCTGAAATTTTAAATAAATAATAAAGATATCTGAAACAGATCGCTAAATCGTATCAACTGTTCGATCTAGGAGAACAAGAACTCAGCCAATTAGGTATCAGATCAAAGAATCTCACCCCAACCCTTTTGATTCCCAGGCCACTCTGTCTTGACCAAGTAAGCTTCCTGTACTGTCGTCGATCTTTTTCTTTTCCTAATTCCTGTAACCAGAAACAAAGATGACTGCCGTGCTCAAACACACTGTCTTTCGAACTCACTTCTCTCAGACACTGATTCGTTTCGTTAAGTACAAGAGATCCTCTGTACCAGTTATGAGATGCAGGATTTTTATGTGCAGGGGTTCGGAGTTAACGCGATCCCTTTTATCCGCAATCGCTTTAAGTAGCCTGTAATAAATGGCACGACCCCTGTCTGCACGAGAAATACGTCGAGCAGCAGCTACAGGTGGCGTGAGGGGGACTTTAATTCACTTCGACTTAACCTCCCCCATCACCACCCCGTGTGCCACGGCGGAACTGCCCTCGAGATAAGCCCGGTTAACGGTGCCCCGACTCGACCCAGTGAATCTGAAACGAGTTCGGAGCACTTTCCTAGAGAAAGCCCGGCGCCCACCTCTCTCCTCCTAACCACCCTACGTAGCTATTGCTGTGAAACCATTCCCTTCCTGATGGTCGTCTCTCTTTGCCTTTCACGTCCCCCTGTCGATAAGCTTGGCCGAATTCCCGCTGGAAATGTTCGTAACCGCCCGCCAAAAGTGCGGGGCCCCGAGATATTCCAATAATACTGGAAGATCAACAAAAATATCGCGCTTTTTCGATAACTTTATTTCTTATTCGTAAATAATTATTTTTTAAATAATTTACCATGTTTATTCGATGAATCGGTGACATATGTACAGACTCCTCTCGATTATCGTCCCAAACTCGGGTTTGCGCCGGGACAATAATCACATAGGGGGAAATGCTTCAGACCCTGACAATAATCGAGAGGAGTCTGTAGTTTAGATTCGAGATGTCTGACCGCCATCTTGCTTTTCAATATGGCGGAGGCTGCTGGGAGGCGAGGGTGAATGTTACTGAAACAGCACACAGGCTTTTAATTTCTTGAAAAATGGATATTTAGTTTGATACAGGGTAATATGTGTGCTTTAATAGTTATAAACAAGGTTTATGTATTATGTTTGTACAAATTATGAGTTTGACTGAAGAGATTTGCAGATGTGCATTTGGTAGACGAATCTGAGACAATACTGAAACAGAGTACGTACAGAAATTATAAAAATATTTATTCGAATCATGGAATATGAGGATTACTGAACATATAAAGAAGAAAAAAGAGCGTAGGAAATATATATAAAAAAATAAGATTTAATGTGGCTTGTTTACCAAGACGGTGCGTACACACTTGTTCTCAGTACAAACAAGCATTTGTACGAAGAATAAATAAATTCTTTTGTGAAAAATATTCCTGATCTTCTATGCAATAACATGTCGACCATTAAAAAAGAATTCTAGATGGTATGATACTTATGGAGAACCCTGTAGACACCTCGACGATCTATAAAAGCGACTCTTTTCTCTTTGACGAAGACCTGACCCCCGTAATTAGGAGGCGATTGAACGCGTTAAAAGCCTAATTCTGCTCGAACGAAACGACGAAAACAGTATATGTCGGCGGCGATTACTTTCACCGAGCACATGGTGTGAAATAGAAAAGTCTGTCCAATCGACGATACGCCGAATTGAAAGAGTTAATCGAATCCCAATGGAAGGGCGATCGCGTGTGAAGCCATCGAATCGAAAAATTAAACTGCTCGCTTTGAGCATCGCGTTCAGGAACGTGGTAAATAGAGGAGAGGAAATTGCCCAGACTGTTTAGGTGTAAAAGAGGTCTAATCTGTTCCGAAGCGTATACAGGATGCTTCATAACACGCGACTACAACATCAGAGGCGAATTCGAGGTTCGTAGAAAGTGGGAAATAGTTTATACACAGGATGTTCGAAAAAAGAGTCTAAGACTTTAAGGATTTCATAGTATTCACCGACTAGAGTAAAAAAGATCTAATCAATATAGGTCCTAAAATGGATGGTAATTGTACCTTAACCATTGATGTGAATCTCTATAATAGAAAGCATAATTAAACACCGATAAATTACATTCTATGAAGTTCAGTTGCAAGTTTCATTGAAAATTAGATCTAGATAGAATTAAACTACATTTTATCAATTTTATTGCGGAAATGGTAATAAATAAATAATATTTAAATAATTGAAGACCTTTTGTAAACGGTGTGACGTCATAAATAATTCTGCGTACCAGATAAATACATTATTACAACAGAAATCTGAAACATATCATGACGTAAGCCAGAAGGGTGGAAAGGGATATCGAATATACCGGTGGGTCATTCTTTATCGCGATGCTGGTTCTGTTACGTATGGAAAAATACAGTTGGTTAACGCGGGGCGAGCTTTCGTTTCATCATTGTCGGTCATTGTGAAGGTGTTTCTTGTTAAGGTTGCCGTGGAAACCGTGGAGAGCACCCTCCCATTATACCTACCCGCCAACACCTAACAACCACCGATTCGTACCTACGCACCACCACTAGTATCGACGCTATAGTAAGTAGGTCAATATCGAGTAAATCACAGACAGGATCGCGAGGACCTTAACCCACGTGCCACAGGATGTTCTTTCGCGGAACAATTTAAACGACAATGCTCAGCTATTCCTGTACGCTTTTACTGGACGAGAGATATTCCTATCACTGTTTTTTTTTGTAGACCAATTATGACATTTTTAAAGGAATCGTGAGTAGGTGTCGAGACATACCTACACATTTTTTAGGAGCTGAGATTTTTGTGGGATCTTGTAACATTTTGAATTTTTGTTTTGAAAATTTTTCTTATTTAAGTAGTTGTGTTACCGTTTCTTACATGTTTGGTACGTTATATGTTATTACATATTCCGTCACTTTTTGGTACAGGGATAAAAGAGTATAAGAAATATGTTTTCTAGAAAGTGAACACACGATACGTCTGCTTATAGTGATGTTGGTAAAGATTTGGGTGAACATAAAATACACAATATCTGTTTTAATTATAAACAATCGAATACTAAAATATGGGGGTGATGCAAAAGTTCGTCCCATTTGACAAAAATTGAAGAAAAATTTTATTCACTAAAAATTACATTTAATCAATATAGTATACGCTGTTCTGTTCGATGACCTTTCTCCATCTCTCCGGTAGCTGCATAAAACCGCGCTCATAGAAGTTCTAAGGTTTCTGGCTAAAGAACTGATCCAACAATGGGACGAACTTTGACATCAATTTAATACAATAATAACTATTAAGTACTTACGAAATTATGTTTCCATTTATAAATTCAGTAAAATCCCAATTGAATTGAATACCATCCAAATTCAAGTAGATCCGAAGGAGTAAACCCGAGAACAATGTGTGTCCGTTACAATTACTGTAATCTAATAAGTATAATTTAATAGTAAGATTGTTTCTCTATTAAATATTATATGTTGTGCCAAATAATTCTTATTTATATTTCCTGCACAATTCAAAATCGCCATTTCGAGTTAAATTCCCAACAGTCGTACCCAATTACAGTGTACTCTTAGAAAAGATTCTCTACAGAAGAGAACACATAATTCCTGTATTATTGTTTATCTTTCTATTCGTCATATAGTAACTTATAACTTATTTTCAGATGTGATAAACGACGCGGTGTTCGACGAGGACCACGACGAGATGGTCGTGGTGAAGGACATCGAAATGTTCTCCATGTGCGAGCACCATTTAGTCCCGTTTTATGGAAAAGTCTCGATCGGTTACCTGCCTTGCAAGAAGATCCTCGGGCTCAGCAAATTAGCCAGGTAATGGAAGAGGAATTTGCTTTATTACACCAGAGACCGGATTAACACTCGTGTCCCGAGACGGCGGCGGTGCAATTAAGCCCCGACGATCTCAACCGAATGGTTCACGTATTAAAACGAGCTTGTATGTATATCCGCCCGCGACGTAATAGAAATTAATTGCTATCGGCTGTTATACGCCGATCACTTAAATCCTTCGATTGAACTGTCATCGTGCACGCATCCACCATCAAGTTATTCTTCGATTTTTACATTTAATCGTCGTATTACCACGTTATTATCCTATCAAGCGTAAAAGGTTGCTAAATTTGCAAATGTGCAAAATGCAATGAAAACGTCGAATCAGGTATACCTAAATCCTTTGATTGAACTGCTCACGCATCTCTTCTTCAATTTTTACCTTTAATCATCAATATTGCTATGTTATTATCCTATTAAGTGTAGAATATCCCTAAATTTCCCGAATATCCTTATACTCGAACAAGCAAAGATGGAAAGAAAATGTCGAATTGCATATACAAGTCAGTAATCCATTACTATTTTTTCAATAATCTCGCGAATTAACTTCAATGTGGATATTTTTCCGAAATTTCATTCGGGAAGGATCAAACGGGAAGGCAGAATTACATTTCCGATACAATTTCGAGATTCTCTGGGGTAACGAAGACGAGTGCGTAAAGCACGATATACAGTAAAAACTTCGATAAAGTTTTGCCAGACTTTGGACCTCGTAGTGTTTTCGGTAAAGGATATCGGCTTTGTCGTATAATTCCCCCCCTTTTTTGTGATTCTGTTATATTCAAGCTAGAATAAAATTTCGCTATAACGGCCGTGAGCCGTGTCCAGTAGCGTGGACGTGCTGATATGTTGGGATTTCACAACGTCCAGATAACAAATTGCATCGGTAGTGGTCACGGCCTTGATTAAAAGGAATATTATTGCGGGAAGAAAAGAATACGACGACGGTACTTACCGATCGTAGGCACGCCGAGCACTTTCACGTAACCACGCTGTTCGATCGGCGAGTGTGTCTGTTTCACTTGTTAAACCATCGTTTCCAAGTCGTTAAAAACCAGCATGACTCCATTGTAAATGATGGAAGTGGCCTACGAAATTCTGGGATACCGTCAAATTTTCTGGGATTCGTGGCAAGTTCCAAACGATAACCGAACTACCTTCTGCAAATTCGAACGACTGAAATTACATTGAAATTCATTTAACTTATTATTATCGGCAAAATTGCATAAGTATAGAAATGCAATAGGTATTCTGATTTTTCCGGCAATAGCAATCGGTTATTCTAAGGAGCACTTATATTTCATGCAGCGAGCATAAAAATAAGAGATATCTGTTTTGAAATCTGTAACATAATCACTTGTGCTTAAAAATCAATTACAAAAGAATTAATTGTCCACAAGTTATAATTGTTAAAATCTTTAAAAGATACAGAAATATGCCATTATTCATGCAAGTATTAAAGAACTTATTAAATTAAAAACACAATAAAAGTTTCGTCGACCTTCATTGAAAATGTCTACTTTATTTTGCTTTTTATGCTTATAGTGCTGTAAACCGCGTAAAATCTGCGATCTATTCATATTTCGTTTGAGATGTTCTTGATCAAAATTCTGTTTATAATATTTTCTTCGGTAAACATCTTCTTAACGAAACAACCACAAATTATCATCAGTTCATGTGATTTTTTCTGCGCAGAATCGTGGAGATCTATAGCCGGCGTCTACAGGTGCAAGAACGGCTCACTAAGCAGATCGCGGTGGCAGTGACCAAAGCTGTGCAACCAGCGGGGGTAGCGGTTGTCGTCGAAGGAGTGTAGGTATCCTTATATTTAACAGGTGCACTCTTCATTATCCGTTCATAAAACCATTCGTAAAAGCGTTCATAAAACGCAAGAAGTTCATAAAAAGACGAGTGATCGTCCAAAGAAGATTCTTTGAGAATCCAAGAGTGGACTTTCGAACTCTTATTGCTACAAAAAACTAATCATCTCTTTACAGAATAATTTTTATACCAGACTATCGTTCTGGCTGAATCCTCTTTTACAATGATCAGGCGAAAATATGAGCAATAAACGCGTTACAGGGGCATTTTAAATTGGACACTTGGCTCCTAGCTGATGCCTGAGAGACCTCCAAGCTCAAACTTTCCAATGACGACTTAAAAAAAGATTGTAGAAAATATGGGTATCGAATGGTAAGCTATCAACTGTCCAGTCTGAAACGGTCCTATAGAGAGGGATTTCGATTCGCTGTGTGACGAATGTGTTTTTTTTAAAGATCACGAGCATGTAACCGAAATCGCCTATCAAGCGTCGCGATTTCGCGCCTCCCTCGGTTTCGTTTCAACGCGCTCGCCACTTGAGCAATAGTTTTCGCAAGGACTAATCGCATGTAAGAATGCGACCTTGTGCTAATAAGGTGCTATCTCTCGGCAAAGAATTAAAGTGCATTCTCTTACCAGGGAATGTTGCATTCTTTAGTCACGAGTGTATGAACGCTTAATAATTCTAATGTTAACGGGTTCTAGAATGCAGGCGGTACGCGTTCGCGTTAGATGACCGAAACTGACGTGTTCCATGCCGTTGGTGGCCCGTGAGAATACAAAACGATTTGTATATGTGTGAAACTTGTCGGGTGTATTCTGTAATATCAGAATTCGATGAAAGTTGTGATACACGGGGTTGAATTTGGAATGCATTACACAACATTAATTGTAGAAAAAGAAAACAAATTGCTGAGCATTGGAAATATTTTTTCAAAATGATGTAATGACTGTAGAAAAAATCAAATTTATTTGATTTCTCATTAATACATTTATTGTAGAGAAAATCATAAATTTAGTAAGTGTTGGTGTACAGTTTATATAATGTTTAATAGTGGATTTCTCATTAATACATTTAGTAACGTGGGTTTCAAAATTGTTTTTTTGGGGGGGAGGGGAAACGTTTAGTCTCTTTACAACCTGTTTGAGTAACAAATACTAGAATTTATCACAAAAGACGATGTCTCAAAGTAAAATAAAAATGGACGTCTATCAAACAGAAATAGTATAGGAACGATCTTCAATAGAACAGTCTTCGTAACTATCGAACGTAGTGTGTAAATATATACATTTTCAGACAGGATCTATTGCCTACAATTAAATATTACATATTACAATTCACTTCATTAGTCAATCAACACGTCATCAAGAATACCTTGAAACGTCAAACGGCTAATTAGAGCATCTGCATGTCCCTGAATGTGATGTTATAATGATATCGTCCACCAACATTCATCACAGAATTGCCAGATCCTGATTAATTATTCACGGGGATACAAATTAGAGACAACAAAATTACATTCTCGATGTCGTACGATTTAGAAAACGGCACGGAATCATTAACATGTCAATCGACAACCTCGCCGGAGAGGGTGTGAATGTTACCGTCACTCGACGAATCCTATTAATATTAATTAACCCCGCCCCGATAAATCAAGTACCGTAACATGTCGTATATAATTGTTCTCTAATCGCGATCTGTGATACTGGACTTCGTGCATCAAAGACTGCGAACCACAATCGGAGAACAGGTTCGCCCGGGGGAAGTAGAGGAGCGACGACGGAGTCCTTGGGCGGTCTCTGGACGACGCCTTAAAAACCGGACAAAAATGCGGGCACCGATAAACGAGATCAATTAACGCAAACGCGTCCTTAATGCTAATCATTTTCTTCACCGTCGACGACCCGCGACCGTACCCGTTCAATCGAGGGGAACATACGCAGTACACGATAATTACCGTGATCTTCGACTCTCGTGGATCAGATAACAGTATATCTTCACGTTAGCCTGGAATCGTAAAGAAAGACAGAAAATAAAAAACACGCTAATGGTTTATACTATTGACATATGCATCGTGGAAAAAAAAATTGTAATAATTTGTATCGACAACACGCGGGGATAATTAATAATAACGTTGCCGATCCTAACGGCGAAACCCGATTAATTATACAGAGGTGTGTAAATCATTAGATAATACCTATGGAAAAGGCAAGTGAACGAGTGTCTTTGTTCAAAGTAATGTTTTATTCATAGTTAGGTAACGTGTACATTTCGTGTGCGTTTCTTGGACACTGATCAATTCGATTTGGTATGTTTTAGGTTGAACACGTTTACAGTTCGTTTTAATTTCCTCGTCGTTGTACCGGATACGGATTAACGCTTTCAGCATGAATGATGTCGTATGAAAACTGAGTGAACCCCACGGGCGAATGATGTTTTAAGACGGCGCAGACCTTATGGCAAAAACATACGGAAAAAATATTCCCGTTCGTCGAGTAGAAGCCCAAAAAACTGTCCTGTGCTGAAAGCGTTAAGGTTTCTGTGACCTGAGATTTGAAACTTTCTGGTGTCCCACAGTTGTTGCTGTCGAAGCATTCGGGTGTAAAGTGTCCATGCTGTGCCAATGACGAAACGTTGGATTAGTTCTTCCAAAAGTATACACCTTACACCTGGAAGCCTGAAAATTAACGGCTGTAGGTTTTTCATAAGTTCGGTTTTTATCTGGATCTCTCTTTCACTTCTGGAAGTCTATTAAACTTTCTTTTAACAATGGCCTACAAAATGGAGCATAACAGTAGTATTACATAGCTTCCGGTTAAGAATATTAATACTGATCGGATTCATGAAGCGATGAAACACCTATTCCTGGGACTAGTGCTCATATAAAATACCAGACAGCATTCTAAGTTCGAATTCCTAAATCTGGACCCCAGAACCAGAATGTATTAAGTCCACTTTTTACAAAAAATGACATTTTATATATTTCCCATATCAAATTTTTCACTCTTTACACTTCTACGTATCGAGACTTGTCTTAAATCCATTCAATAATTCAAAGGTAACGATTATTTCCCGTTGAAACCTTACCGAACGATTCCAAAGTTACAAGATTTCGGCACCTTTGATTTATTCTCCTCTAAAGTTTGAAAAGTGTGACTTAAGACACTCTAGCTCTAGGTTCCAGTAATAGAAATGGTACTTTTGTTCACGATGATCGCACATTTTTATAAAATACTAGCGAAAACGTGGAAAGATACGTTCATAAAATGACGAGAAAAAAAAATGCAAATTGTTTGCAGACATATGTGTATGGTGATGAGGGGAGTGCAGAAAATCAACAGCAAAACGGTCACGTCGACGATGCTGGGTGTGTTCCGTGACGATCCAAAGACCCGCGAGGAATTCCTGAATCTGGTCCACAACAAGTAAATGCCGCATGTACACAGGCTCTTCTCTTCAACGATGTCGTTACCATTGGCCGAGGGACCACGTAACCAAAATGGCCCCGACACGATTCTTGCCCCCCGCCCCAACGTTTCGCCCCGCTGCTACCTCAAAAACAAAAAAGCGTGTCCAAAAGGAAGTTGACTTCGGTGGCGAGCTTACTTACAAACGTTCCCTTTGGTTATTTCGTAAGAGGATTGCTGGATACACGCCAATGTTATGAGAAACAACAACAAAAAACGAACAAAAAAAAAAGATCCTAAGTAATATGTAATTCTATTCGACGACTCGTATAGTCTTGATGACTATTTTCCGAGCGAGTGACAAGGTTGGACGACGTTTGTCTAAGGACGTCTCTGATAGGACGCTCTTAAACTGCTGATCGAATGACACAGAGACAATATGTATATGGTAGTGTAATTGCGGAAACTTTACGTATGTTCGACCAATTATCGATAGGTATCCTCCAGCGTGAGAAAAATGGTGAATTGCACACCTTTTTTTTTTTATTCAACGGAGCGGTTCGAACCTGCGAATCGTTTCACGAAACGAGTGCAGATAACGCGAGGTGCCCGATGGAACAATCGCGTATTCTTGATTGATCGATATTACGAATCGGACGCTGCTCGCGCATATATTGGTGACGTTACCCGCGCGCTGCTGGACCAGCTGTAGTTATGACCGTTTTCGATTGTTGTTGTATGTATACCTTGGGAATACATTTTTCGTAACGTTGTCAATATATTCGGAGATAAACATATTTCGTCGCGTAGTTTCGTACGGGCAGCCCGCGTTTCCGCGAACGAGACGAAGGCAATTAGGAAATTCTCCGGTGAGTCCGATTCTCGGCCGGCGTCGAGGCGAACGCGCGCACTTCGAAACGCTTTCAGCGAGCGACCTCTTAAGACAATACGTATTTTAGATTCTATATTAACAGTTTTTCGAACTGAAAAGCGTTCGCGACGATGCATCGGGCTGGCCGAGAAACGTGAGAGTGTAGTACAGTGAATAATGCAACTAAGAAACTGTTGACTGTACAAGAAAGTCAAAAATACAGGATAATTAATATGGGATTTCAAAATAAATCCCATTTTAGACTCTCAAACTGTTAAACGCGACTTGAATTAACGTTACACAGAATCCTGATAATTAGACTGCGGATTCTTATGCAAAATAAAATTTTATAAAATCATTCTTGAAAACAAGAACAAAAGTAGGAATTTCTAGTATCTTATTGAGTTAAGAATAAAACAGAAAATCGTTGCGTTCGATGAAAGTTTTGTCTTTGATTGTATTTCCCAGAGCTCTAGAGTCTATAAATGCATAAAATCCGCAGTCTAGTCGTAATAAATAAATTTTTTTTTCGATTTTAGACAGTTTCTAGGTCGTGTTATTCGCTGTAGCAACACTGTTTATTTGTGGAGGCAGACTACTCATTCTAAAGAAACAATTACGTTACCCGTTTCTGGTTTGTGAAACGTTCCAGCCATACGTTTTACAACGCGAAACGCTTAATGAATTTGTGGTGAACCCTTTTCATTTCTCATTACTTTATCTCTTCCTACTTGTATTATTTAGTTAAATGATTCGAACGGAAGATATATTTATGTTCTTAGCGTGTTAGAAAGAATCGCGTGAGATATTTTACGGTGAAAGTGGTAGTTCCGATGCGCGATGTTCCAGCCATACATCGTGCGTCACATAGCGTTTAAAACTAACTGTTTTAAAAAATTCATTGCCGTACGTACGTTGTAATATATAATTTGACAAATAATCTAGGCGCTCGTGTAATCGCGTCGTGTTAACATAATTGCTGCGTCTAATTCATTCCACTGAATGACAATGACATGTGACAAATGATTGCCGCGCGTACCGTGAAAGTTCATTAGTTATTTTTACACACGTATTTAAACGTTGACAACATGAAAGGATAATGTCAGTACTTGGAGACACTTTACATATCTTGCATTTAACTCTTTCCGGTCCAATTATACTACACTTCCCATCACTTGGGTTTACGTTCATTTTGTTAAATAATTATACTAAACACTGTCGATAATAAATGACAGATGTTTATGCAAAATCAGGTTCCTGTAGATTAACTTACAAAAGAACGAATTATAGAGACAGACGAACTGATAGTGTTATTCGGATCTGAATAAAACAGAAATTTTTGAAACGAAACGAATGTTTAGAATAATACAGTATCTTTAACAAATCAATGTATTATTTGAAATACGAAAATATTAAAACATATGTATATGGTATAGGTAAAACACATATATAGTTTTTTAAGCAACCGGAAGTAACTTGGACCTCAGAGGGTTAAAATTATTAGTGTATTACACCGCCTACAAAAATGTGTCGAATTGCCGGTCAACCTTTTACTTTTTACAAATCGACTGAAGGAGATCAGTGGATGCGTAATACATTCCAACGAGCCTAAGGTATTACTTAAGCCGCTGTTCAAAATGACGAACTTTTTGAATATGTTGCGCATTCATTGAACTTCTGAGAACGCATGAGTACGGTGAACGCGGTCCAAGGTGCCCGCGTATAAGATTAGGACGGTGTTTGTTACGCGACCTTTGATGTAGCCTGCGATTCTATTTTGTAACATTAAACAATGAAACGAAATCTTAATGTTATTTATGAGATCGAAATGTTTAATATTTTTCTGACGATGTTATATAAAGTTATATTTATACTTTCAATATCATGTTCTTTTTATTACGCGCACACCGTAGCACATATGTACACACATATGTTACCGTCGTGCGTAAAAGTTCATCACGATGACGTATTCCTGAAAATGTGGATCCAGTATGATGGTATCATTAACAATTGCGATTAGAGGAGATAGATATGACGCGAATGTGACATTACAAGAGATCTTAACAGTTTTTTTATTTTCATTTCTGAAATCATTCAAGTTACATTAAGAATTACACTATGAAGACGTATATATTAGATCGGAATAGATCGTAACAATTATTTATTTTTCACTCTGGACGTATGAAGTGGTTCACATTTTTGTAATTCGTAATACTGACTGGTGATACTGATTCAATAACAGACACAGTACGTATTATTGTTTTCACGATTCTCCCGAGATCTCACAGTGTAGAGGCAGTAGATATTAACAATCAGACGATATTATTTTATACATAGCGGCACCGTGTCGGATAATACATAAAAAAAACTCGTAAAATTACGCCCCCAAGAACACATTAACTGATGAGATCTAAGCTGTCCTCAACGCTGGACCGTATCAGACTATCCAAGCCCCGTTCGCCGGTGCCCAATTTTATTGTTTGTCTGCGGTCACCGAAAGAAATTTTACGAGTTCCCTGTATCTTGCCCACCACCGGGACGTCGCAAATATAGTTCGCGGGTCCCTCTCAGAAAATCAACTTGTCTCGAAACATTTTTTTTTACAGTCGAACCTTTTTGAAAGGTTTTACCACCGACCTTTTTAAAAGGTTCTTTACAGCCGAAAGGCTTAACGATCCTTCGAACGGAAGGAGCGACCGAAAACGGATCAAAATCTGGGACACGGTGGTATCTCGATCTTCTTCATAAACGGCTGACCGCAAACCCGCGGCTTCGGCGTGTCGTTCGAGGCGCAGATGTTCTCCGCGTCACCTTGATGAAGAAGGAAGACCATGCTGTTGCTGGACGCGGTCTTCCGGTTCCTTCCGTTGGGACAGCACGCGCTGCCACAAGGCCGTTTCACCGCGTTCGGATCGCGAGTCGAGCCTTTACCGTTCCCGTTCCGTTGGGTGACACAACCTCGGAACGGCCCGTTTGATACTTCCTTCTTGCACAGGGCTGGCTCCCTGCGAGTGAAACTTCGATGAGTCAGAGAATCGACTTCGGACTGATACCGATCAACGTGACAGAGGCTCCGTATACAAAAAAACTAATCACGTCAAATTATGCCCCCCTCACAACCATATAATTTTTATCTGAAATCATTTTTCAAAAAAATCATCAGGTATGCAGTATCGAAGTGATTCCAGTTACGTGCTCCACCCTGTATGTTTTCCTTCTGAAAATCTTAAATTTAGTTTTAAAATGTGCAGATACTTCTGAAAGTCATTTAGAATATGTTCTTACAATGAAATATTATACCAGAGAATTGATGTTCTTTACCAACTGAAAGAATGGGCAAATGTTTGTTTGTATACTAACATGGTACCAGCAGGACAGGTAGCGCAAGGGGTGCAACACGGAATTGGCGGGGAACGCAACACCCTCAACGCTTCGACGTTCAAACAGGAAACGCCTCGCAACAACGCTCGTTGTATCGCATTCTCATAATCGGCCCGTTCCTTTATGATACGCTGATTTTCTTTTTTCAGCCGCGCTATTTCCGCTTCGAGCTGTCCAATTCGGCCATTTATAATTTATGTCTCGTGGCGGAAATGAAGGTTTCAGAAACGAAAAAACCGAAAACTGTCCCGATCGTACCTCTATCTCTCGTCTCATTCTGTCTTTATCTTTCATCATCGACTGAATAGCCGCGTCCGTGCAAACGATCTCCACGATCCTCGGTTCTTCTACCGAAATTGGAGTAGTATCAGAGAGAGGAGGGGGACGAGGAGGAGGAGGAGGAGGAGGAGGACCAGTAATTTGTTCAGAAGCAATGGAAAGAGCAACAGGTTCCTGTTCTTTCTGTACTGCTTCGACTGTCCGTTCTTCCACGCGTTGCTCAATTTGAGTCTGCGCGGCCACCTGTGGTTTCTGTGACAATATTAATCGAATATAAATAATTTCATATTTTTACAACAGTGGTATTTAAGTCGATTTTAACTCTCGGTCCCTGCGCGTTTTCAGCGGTCGTATACGTAGATAACGGTGCCAGAGTCTTATTGGACCCTAAGTACCTTCCTAAATACATGCCACGACTTTTTCTTATCGGATCTCATATGAATAACTTTCGACTTGAATCGAGGATTAACGCAAGATCGTTGATAACTTCGGTCAAAATAGACCTAGGCATCGCCATCCGAGGGTTAAATGAGAGAACTTGCATCGAGTTCCGCCTCGCAATCCGCCAACTGTTTCTTCAGATTCTCGATTTCACACATTCGGGCGAGCAACTCTTTCGCCAGAGCCTCGAGAGCCTTTTTGCAGTCCTCTAGCTTCTTATCCACCAAAGCGGTCCACTGTTGTATTCGGCCGAGTATGTCGACGAACATCAGCTTTTAGAAGAACGACGTTCCCGGGAACAAACAGACGTAGCAGGGACAAACAATAAACCAATTAGAATTTCGTTCGCCGTGGTTAACGTTACACGATAAATTCACCTTGAGCACAGTAAAATCGTTCTAAAAAAATGTGAGTAATTTGAAAAACTGCAACTTTTGTTTGTATTTCATATCTTACACCTCGTTTGATAGAGTACGAATAATTTTATGGATCGTCTTTAATTGTTGTACCCTCGCTATACACTTCCCCAAGTCGTCCCAATTTTATGATGGTTCTACTTGCGTGCAGGGCTCAACCTTTGAGTCGTGTTCAAAGTTCTCGCTTAAGGTGGCCAATGCTTTACCGGCTTCTTCTAAGTTCCGGTGCACATAGTCGATCATTTCTTCCACGTTTTTATCTCTGCGATTGAAATAATCAATTTCTCATTGATTCGAATAATCCAGGAACGTATAAATGATTTTCTACGTTCCAGATACAAAAGGAAAAAATGTGTACCCAATTGCTCCTGGTACCTGCCCGATACAAGAACAACATGGTCCGGTGGTAACTGGAGGTCTTTCATGCTTCTCGGGTTGTAAATTAGGGGCATCTTGTTCCTGTATCGCGGCAGAGGCTGCTTGTTCGCTTCTTTCTGCTGTCACACTTAAATTCCTTTTCGCTCCGTCCGGTGTATCCGCGCCTCCCATTAAACGATCCTCGACATCTTTGTCTAATGTGGATTTGCACCGTATCGCGCTGATCGACTGTTTAAATTTAAACAATTTCGATGATTTTCGACCTTCGTCCGTCGCTGTAAATAATAGTGACAATCGTGGTTAATAACCGTTTTACTAAGTTCATCGATGTTGCAACTTTCTTACCGCTTTTGGATGAATTCAACGAGCGCGGCATTTTGATTTAATGTTAATGTAACGGGATCATACTGAAAAGCAGTTACAAAACGCCTGACTCCTTTTGGTTAATTTACACGTGATTTTGAAATTTCATTTTGACAAGGCTGTATGAAACTACATACAGATGTATGAATATTACAGTGACTGTCTGTTGTTTTCAAGCTTTCAGAGCATGCAAATAATATTGAACCATGGAAAGGGTATATTCTTTAAAGTTGTACAATTAAACACGCTGCATATGTTATTAAATTTTTTTTTTATTTATATGAAAGTGTAAGTGAGATGATCATTTGAAATATTTAAAATATAAACTTTATATTAAACAATCGTACATATACGTTCCTTTCGATGTACCGACTATACAGGTACAATAGTGAACTGAATTTCATTTGTAGAAAAACGTCTGAAATACCTGCATCATATTTATCTAACTTTACATTATATTACAAAACTATTTTCATCTTCTCGTACGTAAGCCTCGCAAAAATATTTGAGAACATTACTTGCAGTCAATCGATCAAAAGATATTGCATACATTCTAAATGATGATGGTTAATCAAACTGATCTTAATAATTAGATGATACATATATACATATTTTAAGTAGCCTTTTTAGGTGGCGGCCTGAAAGCACCGACTACTACGGCATGATCTCTTTCATATGGTTCTAACGTGATTTGTTCCTGGGGTTTCAATTTGTCAGCGATAAGTTTTTTCACTTCGGCAGCAAATACTGCTTCAGGTTGAGCTGTGGAGTCTATACAACTTGCCTAAAAAAAAACGAGAATACTTCAGTATAATGTTGTATAAAAGTTAGTGTTTATCTTAGAACTATTTATGTATACACTTGCCTTAATAGAAATAACGAAATGACCTCCATTTTTGAGGAAGTATTGGGCATTCAGAGCTACTATTCTGGCTTGATCGGGCTGTGCGACATCGGCAAATATTGTATCCACCATTCCAACAAGCATTCTATACTTATGAGGATGCCTTGCATCTTCTATTATTGGAATAATATTTGTCCGTTTCTTGGCAACATTTATAAGATCTCTGCCTGATCTGTGTGAAAACTCCACGGCATAAACAAGTCCCTCCTGAGAAAAGAAAATATATACATATTTACAACTTGCACTCTATACTCTATGCACTGTATAGGATAAATTAATCGAAATAAAGTATCAATATTTGTACGCACGCCTTTTTCAAGTAAAACATTAGATATCTTACTCAATGGAAAAACGAGTATGTAATTGCTGTAGCATAACGTCGACACCAAATTAGTAATAATTCACTGAATTGGCTCTAATGTATGCATGACAAATTCCATATACTTTTCTATACATTTTATGGAAACAATTTTATATGAACTTACTGGACCAACAACATCTGCTACATGTGACACAGTAGTTCCAGATGCAGCACCCAAATATAACACTTTGCTTCCCGGTGGCATATGAATTTGATCTACACCGCCAAGTATGGCAGCAGCTAACTTTGATCTAAATGGATTCCAAACTCTGTATTCGATTTTTTCGCCATTTTCTCCCTGTAATGTTTAGGAATCAAAGTTACAGTTTCATATTCTTTATATATGTACACTTATATGAACATTGATTGTACTAATATTATGTATTTAACACATTTGCTACTACACATGACATACAGGGTGATTCTCTTGCTAGAGGATCCACAGGGAATAGCCGTCGACATCAGCGTTGTAACCTCCCGGTCTGTCAACGCTGCAACATTAAAGGCCTCTATGCCATCCATGGGTACCACAGCGGAGTCAGCTATGTGTATGCATATCTGTGAAATAAAAACGATGCGGCGACTATTCTCTTTGGGACCTCTAGCAAGATAATCACTCTGTATAAGCTTCTTACAAGCCAAATTAACCAATTTTATTTTTTGTAAATGTCTTAATTTTAGTATTCTTAATATATTGTTTCTTAAGTGTCTTATATTTCCAGTTGTAGCAGTTAACTTCCAAGCATACAAAAGTAGCAAATATGTTAATAAATTAGATCATATGAATAACTAATGTATTATACCTCAACACTAATTCTCTTTTCCCCATATACTTCTGACCCTGGTACTAAATTCAAAGTAACTAATGCATCCTCTTTTCCTCTAGCTATAAAAACTCCTTCATGACGATGTGGCTCTATAACAACAGTTTTGCCACCTTTGAAACCACCACCTCCACGTCCTCTTCCTCCTCCACGGCCACCACCACGTCCACGTGGGGTACCACCTCCTCTTCCTCCTCCACGTCCACCTCCACCTCCTCTACCTCCTCCACCTCCACCCCTTCCTCCTCTAAATCCTCCTCCTCCACCACCACCGCGACCTCCTCCTCTACCACCTCTAAATCCACCTCCACCTCCTCCTCCCCCTCCCCCTCCACCTGGTGAAAATCCTGTAATACAAGAAATATAGAATAAATAATAAATAGAAGAGTAATTTTTAAAGATTGCAGTTTTTTACTAGATTAATTTTTATAAATATTTAATGGTCTCAGACACCTATTAAGTATATATTGTTCACTTTTTCTTTCACTTTTTCAAAGACAAATTCACGCACGTAAAATTATATTACGGTAAGAGTACTATAAAAGCGAATATTACTATTTCTTTGACTTAATGATATATATATTCAAATAGAAAATAATCGGTCATAGTTAAATAAATGTATAAATATTAACACGTGTAATATATATGCATCATATGAAGACAAAACATAGAAGTATATTTACAAATTAGGTTACCGCAACTCGTGTACTAATATCGTACAATTTTATTTTGCTATTAATGAAATAAAACACCTAGTAGGAGAATGAATATTAATTACCTGGTTTTCCCATTTTTTATTTTAAACAACTAAATATGTATACTTAATTCAATTAAAACTTTAACTCTCCATGCACGTGTATTTCAGACGCCACCAAACTTTTACGGAAGTTGGTGACTGTTGGCTGCTGTTGGCGACCATTGGCGACGTTTTCAAATATCGTCTTCCGGTTTAGGCTGTTGTATCGACTATGATTGGTATCGATAAGTTCGAATCGACCACGAAAAAGATTTGAATACTACATCACAACATTGAGTCCTCCGAAAAGTTTATTATCTTTTTAAGCGGAGTTTCAATATATAATTTTCAATTTATATCATATTTTCATTTACTACGTTTTATACAATTTCTTTCAATTTTTCAATTACTTTCATTGTACCAGGTATATACAATTTGGATTGTATTTTATGCTTGTTCATACGTTTCGTTCAATTCACACCTGGAAATAGTACCTATTCACCAGATCTAACGACTTTTCCTTCATCCAATTAAAAAAGGTAACAAAGACACTGTGTTCAAAACACTACGAATTATCCAGACGACCTAATGTATTCGAAATATATTACAATAAAGTTACTTACTGTCAGTTAAAGAGAATTAATTTTCTATCATATATTTGAATTGTTATAAAACTATTCTAGAATACCTTCTATTCAAATAAACGATCTAGTAACACCGACGAGTTCGTCTGTGGCTTTATTTATGCATTTTAGTGCTTGGAAGAAAAATAAACTTTTTCATAATAAGTATATGATCTTTATTTATGAATTATTCATTTTAGCATTTTAAAAATAAATACATAACATGTAACTCACAGCTTAAAATGCACATGTACAATTAATAGCGCATATACAAATTAGAATTAACTTATTACATAAATGTTTTCACATTTTCTTATAGCCTGAATAAATACAAAACGTAATTTCAAATTACACTTTGTTATATACAACCTTGTCGTTGTACCTTGGATACATAAAAAATTTTTTTTGAAAAATACATTCCACACAAAAACTTTTATAGAAAAACAGTCACATTTTATCACCACGTGCGTAGATATAAATTTCATAATATAAAATACTTCTTTTTACGACACTGACTAGCTTTTACTTACGTAGTATGAATGCAAAGCAAATAATGATGAACACTAGCAATGCTTCTGCGATTTTTCGAAAGAATAATACAATATCAAAAATAGCAGCAGATAAATTAAAAATAGAATACGCTAGGTTGTACCTATAATATTCGCATCTTCTATGTATTGCACAAGCGAAAATTATACACATATTAGTAGCAATTAGAATATATTGGAAATATACAAACATAATACATATTCTTTTATGTACATATTTGAAAATATTTCTACCTACAATGTGTTAACAATTTGTGTCAACATAGATGCAATTCGTGCAGTTCAGTTTCATTTAACATCTCGCGTGTTCTGAATACATTCCCGAAAATATTGATATGGCTATTCAATACTGGATTGTCAATTTTATAGAAGTGTGAAGTAAAGTTTATTATTATCATGTTAGAAAAAGCAATTAATTTAATTTACCACTTCTATTCCTACATTAAAAAGCTCACTGTAATTTACAACCACTTTTATTTTTTGGTTCTTTAGTGCTGTGATGAATTGCATCCTCTTTAACAGGTGGCAAATTTTGCTCTTGCTCTATCTTGGCTGGAGTTAAGCCACATAATTTATTGTATACATCTAAGTTCCATAGAGAATGATGAGACTGCATTTGAAAATCAATAGGGCTCACTAAACCAAAAGTAGCTTTTGTGTCTAGTGCTGGAACTTCTCCTGGTATTGTCTGGTGATAACTTTTAAATAAAAATTAACAAAAGTAATTATTACACGCAATTTGTTGACGTATACATACTAACATCTTCTAAATTAAACAACCGTAATACTTACATTAAACCATTTTCCCGATTACATTTATCAAGATTAAATTTCACTATTGGTGCCAATAGTTCAAACGCAGCATGTTCATTCGGTTTCACTCTAGGTGCTGGTCCATTCGTTTTCCCATATTCACAACACAGTGCAGTAGCCTTTTTTAAATAAGCTGAACTTTCTTGCAAAGCTTTCAGTGCTTCTCCACATTTATCCATACACATTAAATTTTCACCACAGTAATTATAAGCCTAAAAAGATACGTCTCAATAAATCAATGATAATATAATTTCTATTCATTTGCTTACATAAGCCTGATAAAATGCTGCTTTAAACTCTAAATACTTAATCCACTGAGCTGACATCTCTTCCTCAAATTGGCGTAATGTGTTGGCTGCATCCAAAAACAATTTACTTGTCTCATTAGCCAAAGCTGATATTAAGCTAGCATTGTGCTTTAATTCGACTGCTCTTGCTACTGTAACTGTAATACAGTATGAATGAAAATTGATACACATCAGAAAGTGTAAAGGAATAGTAACATAAATTTATACACTACTCAACCTTCTTGTGCTTCTGCTGTACATTGATTTACATATGCATTCAATATTCGTGGGTCTAGATCACTTCCTAGTGGTGGAGGATTCACCAATTGTGGCAAGAATTCTGTTTGTACAAAAGCAAATATTCCTGCGGCTCGTCTGAGCATTGTATGTACATCCTTTGCTTCGTTCATGCTTATACTAAATCATAATATTTCTTAATGATACTGCTTATAATGATATTTACTCATACTTCCAGTCACTTCATTACTTTATCTCATACGTACTCATCTTTAGCAGCAATCATTGCAGCATGTTTCATAAACCAAAGTCCTACATTTACACTCATATTAGCTGCTTCATAAACAGCATCAGCACTAGAACTTTATCAAAAACAACATTATCAAATTTAAAAACATATATAATTCACATACTTTTTACTAGGATTGAATGTATGAAAATTTTGTCAATCCAAACAAATGTTCCATTTCAATATATATTTATATTTTGATACTAAACTGTTATTATTATATTGCCAATTTTATGAGTTTATAACTCTAATAAAATTGAATATCCACAATATTTTCTTCTTTACCTAGTAAACTCATTTATTGATATAAGAAGTTTCTATTTAATACCTATTCCTATAAATTAGTCCACAAAAATGTGAATTTGCTTAAATATGTATAATCCATTTATCATAGATAAATTTTCTTATAAGTTTCATACAAATACAAGTCCTAGCTATACCATCATTCATTGAAAAACATTATACATATAATATATATATATTACTATGTGTTTCTTCCCAATAATGTGTGTGTCCACTTGTATACAAGCACATTTCGTAATTTACTAGGATTTGGCCTGCCAACATGTTGATTTTCTTCTACAGAAGAAATTATTTCCCATATAAATCCATATAATAAACTTAAATAGCTATAGAAAGCTGGTTCTATGGTGTCACTTGAATTATTTGGATTCTTTATTAAGTCTAAAAGACGACTTCTTGATAATCTTAAATCGCTGAAAAGTAAAAGTATCAAATGTACAGCATATTCAATTTAAACATATACGTGTAATTATCTCTCTTGCTACTTATGATTTACTTTGCTGCTGCCACTAATGAATTGTTATGAAACAGGGACATTTGATGAAACATTTAAATGCGTTCAATTGACCATCGTTATTAGTAACTAACCTGCACATTTTCCTTGTAGAATCAGTGGAATTATTTATTTTGAATTCGAATTTTTGATTTGTCGTTGCTTTTAATACGTTTCGATGGAACCAGTGTGCCATTTTGTAAAGAATATAAAACCAAATCGTTTCTTCTAATAATATTTAATCGCTTAACCTTATCAATTTGACAGATAAAGTGAAATCAATAGGGTGATAGGTATATGTATACATATATTGGTATAACTATGATCGTCCGAAGTCATGGAAACTCAAGCTTCGAGCCGGGTCGGAAAAATTCGGACGGAATCGGGCGAGATCTCAATCTCCTATGAAATTAAGGTAAACACACGAGCAGAACGTAACACTAATACACACAACGAAAGATATTCCACTTTTTGGTGAGATACGTGAGATATGAGAATCGCACAGTTGTACGCACACTTCCGTTTGGTGTGGAAACGTGTGATCAGAAGTAGATCGCTATTATTCAGTAATTCTCAAAAGGTAAGAATGAAGAAATTGGTTGTCCATTGTCTCGTATTTATAAAGTGCTGATAAATACACATTATTATCGATATAACAATTTTGTTGTCGTAGAATTGCTGCTTTTTAAATCTAACCTAGGAGAACACATAGTATCAGAATGTAATCGTCTTGAATCTAAAAAGTATTATCTATATTTTTAATCATTTCTTTTATCTGTTTGTTTTGGAAATAATGTCCCTAGGTTGTAGTGATAAATTTATCTACTGATTTGTTAAGCTATACTCCACTAAAATGAAATTTAGAAATAATTTATTTCACGTTAATATTATTGACCCTTTAAGAACAAACGCGTAATAGAAATTACATTTATGCAAACGGAGGCTTATTTAAAAATTAAGTATCATTATCATCTTGCAACTCAATATCCTTAATACTAACAAGAACGAAAACAACTGTGAAACTATCCACACAATTTCCAATACCATTATTTTAAATAGTTAAACTTTTGTAAAAATCAGTCACTTATAACAAGTTTTCACATTGCACAGCCTTTCTCTTAGAAACAATGGTTAACATTGATGGAGATTTCAAATAGAAAAGCTGATGTCACTTGTATTAGAAACAAGATCTCGTATGTATCGTTGTATACATTTTATTATGTTTATTATATTATTGTTTATATAAGCTCAAAAATATAGAATCCCTATGATTTATAGAGACAACTGTTAAAAGGTTTATATTAAAATAAAATTGTGTGACAATGTTTAACCCTCTCGCGTTCTTATGACCTGGTCACCGGCAAGCTGTCGGTAAACATAGTCTCCGTACTGTTTATACGACGACGAAGTATATATGCATGTATTTTGAAATATTGTTACCTATGGGTCACGATTCACGATCGACTTACCGCTGACTTTGACGTTCCGTAATCCCGAGGGTTAATAAAAGTTTGTTAATGTTTATTTTAGATGGGTGAACCTTCAGGGTTAACGAACAGCGAAGCACACGAACTTTGTAAAGAACCTGATCCTGTAACAAATGGGTACATTATGCAACAAACAATGTATCGTATTAAAGATCCACGGAAGTCGTTACCATTTTACACCGAAGTACTCGGTATGCGTCTATTACAAAAGCTTGACTTTCCCGAAATGAAATTCTCTTTGTATTTTATGGGATACGAAAATGCAAAGGATATTCCAACCGATAAAAGGGAATGTATTGAGTGGACATTCAGCCGCAAAGCCACCATAGAACTCACTCAGTATGTTGAGAAATAATGTAAAATTGTACTAATCAATAATTAAACTGTGGATTTTATGCATTGAGATGTAACATTACACATTTGAATGTAAGGCACACCATGGTGAAACATCCTGACAAAACTTTTAACGATAAGAATATTTTTTTTATTCGTATTTTTATTACTTTCTGGAAGTATGAATTTGCATAAACATTCACAGTCTGTTAATGGTATAGCAATATGTTAATTTAATATTTATAATTACAACTAATCTTGAGTGTTTTCGTTTAGCAATTGGGGTACTGAAGCTGATCCTGATGCTAAATACCATAACGGAAACTCTGAACCACGAGGATTTGGTAATACATTTTGAATATCATACAATAAAAAAACACAATGAAAATTATAGTTTTGAGATGTTATTAGTTGCTTAGACGAATCCTCGGATATCGCTATAAGCGGTAATCAATGACAGTCATATTACGCCAATCTCTGACTTCCGAGTTACTGACACTTACCTCGGTCTTGAACGTGTTGAACAATAAATGAATTACAACAATTATTGTTCTGTAACAGTACATTACTCTTTCTTGTACAGGTCACATTGGAATCACAGTACCTAATGTCGATAAAGCATGTGAAAGATTTGAGAAGTTAAATGTAGAGTTCGTGAAAAAGCCTAATGATGGCAAGATGAAGGGACTTGCTTTCATTAAAGATCCAGATGGTTACTGGATCGAAATTATGAATCCGTCCAATGTTGCAAACACAGTACTAAATCATTAATTCGTTATGAATAGTGTAATTTCTTCGAGTACTCTGCACTGTATCAATTTTATTAAATACTGAACAATAAGAGGTAAAAGTCAGACCATTATACAAACATATGTACATAGTATATATGTATTAAGATTGTAATTATGTACTAATAATTATGTACACTATATTTTTTAGTACCTGTACATTCTTGTATTACATTGTGTTATATATGTAATTTATCTACAATGTAACATTTATATGTTCTTTGGTAAATAAAATCAAAATATTTATTTTTCCATTACAATTTTTTAATAAAAATTTCATGCGTTCTCAGTTATTACAACGTTGTTGTTCACATTCGCAGCACCATTTTCAACCATGTTCTACTTTTACTACTGGTTCTCTGTCAGTTTTAATCAATGAAAAGAAAGTCCAAATACTACATGTTACTTGATTTCTCTACACTCTACCGCATCCTCGCATTATATGTATACATATATGTACGCAACACAGACGAAGATAGTAAGCACTATTCCGCGAGTAGTGGAGTATCTTGTACTACAGAGCTCCTAGCTAGGATTTTTGCTGTACACAACAGAGAAATGTCATATCGCTGTATATGACTTTTAATTTTGATAAAACCATGTTTGTATAGCTGCTCGTATTTGTTATAAGTATTACCCAAAATAATACTACGTGACAACTATCTCCTGCTTAAAACATTAAATATTTCGTTTGTTTCATTATTTTCAATGAACATCTACTATATTGAGGTTAAGTTTCAGACCGCAATATGAAGTATACACACCTATAATTATTTATATAAAAACATTATAATCCAAATTTTATTCTATACATTTCAAGCATGATTTCCAGGATATTTGTGAAATAAAAAAATTATTTATCTCAAACAGACTTTGTTATAATAAATAATGATATTCATAATTGTCATTAAAAACTTTTCTTTTTTAGTATGGTAGAGGACAAAAAGTATGAAATTGGCAGCCGTATCGAGTGTGATGGACATAGAGGTACTCTAAAATATGTTGGTCCCGTTGGTAACACTAAAGGTCAGTGGCTTGGTATAGACTGGGATGATTGTACTCGTGGTAAACACAATGGCACATATGAAGGAGTAGAATATTTTAAAGCTAGGTAAAGTCGTATAAAAGAATAATATAAGTATTTGCAGCAATTACATAAGCATAATATATTACATATTTTATAATAGGCATCCTACATCAGGTTCATTTATACGCCCAGGTAAAGCAAAATTTGGAATTTCCTGTCCACAAGCTATTAAAATCCGTTATGGTCTCATCAATGATGAGTTAGCAGGCATTGATAGGGACACATTAACAAGTTTGCAAAAAGAGATTAATGCTCCCTTTTTGGAAGTAGTTGGTTTTTCCAAAGTAAATAAGAAGCAAAGTAAATTTGACCAATTAAAAATAGTGTGGCTCAGAGATCAATATGTTAGTGAGGCTGGTAATTCTGGTGAACTAGAAGAATTGTGTCCAAATCTGGAAGAGTTAGATATATCTAGAAATTTAATTAATAGCTGGAGAATCATTGCAGATATCTGCTGTCAGCTTCATTCTCTTATTCGCCTCAATGTTAGGTAAATTAATTAAGCTTACCAGTAACATATATTTTTTGTGGTTCTTTTTTTCATTTGTTTACATTTTTTAGCGAAAATTATTTACCAACTGGAGAAAATATGAAAACATTGAGCAACTCATTTCTAATGGTTGAACATTTGACCATGGCAAAAATGAATTACAATTGGTTTGACATTCAACAATGTTTATGCATGTTCCCATCTATTCAAGAACTTTCAGTTTCTTTTAATATGATCAGCATTATACAGAAACCACTAGAAGATGAAAACCTCATGAAAATATCTAGATTAACACTTGAAGGGAATTTGATATCCAATTGGGATGAAATCCTCAAATTGGGTTCACTTCCACGGCAAGTTATTTATAAATATCCTATACAGAGTTACAATAAAGGAGGACCTTTTATTGAAAAGTTTCAATTTACAGCTTAGAATACCTCAATTTAAATTTAAATAAAATAGACAAAATAAGATTTCCATCTACTAAACCAACAGCAAAAACTCCAGCCTTCCCAGTTTTGCGACAGTTACATCTATCGCAAAATAACATATCGGAGGTACACCTCTATATTACATAGACAAACGTTTTTAAAGAAAGTATTAATTCCATTAAAACTTACAGTGGCAATATGTATCAGAACTAGAGAAGATTAATAATTTAGAAGAGCTGAAATTTAGAGAAAATCCAATTTTGAAAGACGAAAATTTAGAGACCACGCGTCAGCTAATAATAGCAAGAATTTCCAAATTAAAAATTTTAAATGGCACTGAAATAGTGCATGACGAAAGACGAGGTGCAGAGTATGATTACTTGAAACTGTATTTGTCAAAATGGATTGAAACAGAAAATGATTCTGAAAAAAGAAATGAATTTTTAAGTGAACATCCTCGATATCCGTCGTTAGTTGAAAGTATGTAAAAATAATATTGTCAATGAAAATCTGCAGAGAATAACTATCATCTGATTTTTGATATTGTTTCTAGAATATGGAATTTCTGATATCCCATCAGCTAAACCAAAAGTGGAAATGATTTCTAACGTGATTACAGTAGAGTTTGTGTGTCCGGATCATGCAAATCAGCCTAGGGGGGTTAAAAGGAAACTTTTAAAAGACATGGAAGTTCAAAAAGTTATTGGACTTGCACAGCGACTCTTTAGGACAGGAGGAAAAATACCATCACTATCGTTTATACAACATAATGTAAGTATAATGTACAGTTTTGTGTAATGTACTTGTGATCAAATATTTTTATCTACTTTTGTAGCTATCCAAAGATGAAATTCCTTTGGATAAACCGCTTCAAGAACTCAGCTATTACTCAATACAAGACGGAGATCAAGTTCTTGTAAGGTGGTGATACAAAATGAATTGTTCATAGATGTATTTTGTACACTGTTAAAATTTCACCACCGTACTTTGTTATTAAACTTTTTTAATTGCACAATTATATTTTTGTACCCTGTTAATAATTAGTCAATCACTATTAGTCAAATCACTGCCAATAATTGATAAAATGTTAAACAACATTTATTCTTTTGTCTTAAAAAACTTGTATATTATTGAAAAAAATATTTCTTATTACAATATTTATGAAAACATTATTACATTTTATACTTGCTATAATACAGAGAGTATATAATGTATAAATTATTGTTTCTTTTTACACATTATGTATCATTGTATTTGTCAAAAAATGGCACATATAATTTATTACAAATGTAAAACTAATCATTTAATTTTGTTGTGCCTTTTCTTCAATTTTTCTATACTCTGTATTTTCAAGTTGTTCTCGTGTTAACAATGATAATCCTAGTTGGTTCTCACGTGTGAACGGTTGAGCCATCTGCCTCAACCAACGTTTACTTATCTGAAAATCATAGATAAATAATTTAAAGTTTTGAACTAAAATTGTAAATGATCACTACTAAAACTTACCTGCACAGCTTCTTCAGTCGATAAATTACACAAACTATCAAGTAAATGCTCCTGTATCCACTTTGGTAATTTACTTCGTTTATCGATCCTTGAAAATCTCTAAAATGATAAACATTGTTAAAGAATTGACTATTAATAATACGATTTGCAATAATGACCATGTACCTTATCTGCGAACACCATTATACCATAATCGGTTTTGCCTCGAATTGCACGTCCAACGCATTGTGCTGCATGCCTCATCGCATCAAAAGTTAAGAAATCATTTTCTCTGATCTGAACGGAGTAGTAGAAATATTGTAAATAGAATCAGTAAACGTATTTTGTAATTTAAATTGTAATATAAGTATATTTACTTGGAATTGATCACGAAGATATTCTAAACGTGCTTTTAAAATACGTGATTGTGTATATACATATGGAATTCCAAACATTAAAACAGCTCTTCCTAAATGATGATCAAAATCGACTCCTTCTGATACTTTTCCACGCGCTACTGAAAGAAGAACAGCGCCTCTTCCATTTTCACAAGCTTTTATATAATTAATAAGAGCTAAACTCGTCTCAGCAGAATCTTGAGTTTCAATAAATAATAACTTGTGCCTCTGAAGTTGATCCACAACACCTTGGTCATACCTATAAAAATATAGAATGATACAAAAAATCCAATCACACTAGAATAATTTATTAATCGATTAATACAAACCATGCAGCGACAACAGATTCCATATAAAAGTACGAGGTAAAAAAGCAGACTAAACCATCCGGAACAGTAGCTGCAAACTCAACCAGTAGTTGTCCATAATTCCTTATAACGGCAACATCTTCCCTAGTTTCATATTTCGATGAGATTGCAACTTGATCGTTACCTTTGGATACTATCTGATGTTAAAAGAAATTTACTGTTTTCGATAATTGTACTACTGTCAATTTAAACAAATATGATTAAACTTACCATAGGTAGAAGACATGGCCTGGCTAATGTCATTGTAAAAGATGACATTATGACTGGGTGAAAATTTAATATCTTAGGATACATGTCTAATGGAGACAATGTTCCTGATGTGATTATTACTGATTGAAATCTATCAAATATAGGTTTCATTGCAATAGATGAATCTAAACAACTGAATTGAAGAATTGGATTTAAGACAGTAGGTGTTTTGTCATCAAACGGTTCTACTATAATGGTAAAGCCTTTTGTATATGTTGACACTAGTGTTGCAAGGTGTGTCACCAAAATTATTGGTGAAAAATCAGTTAGATCAGTTATTTCCATTGTTCGTAGCAGAGATGCCAATCGTTCGGCACAAAACCTTAATGGTTTACGTTCTATTGACACTTTCGATTGTATATCTCTTAAGAACGCAGCAGGTGATTCTTGAACTACGTGCTGTATACGTAAACGTGTCTTTAAGTACTCTACAAAACGTTTTAAGAAACTGACAAAATGTTCTGCATTTCTTATGTTACCAGGAACCACTTCTGTAACAATATACAGAATAAATTGAAATTGTAACCTTTTAACATGCATGGCATTAAGAATGAAAGATTTACCATTTAGAACTTCATTTGGTAAAACAGGATTAGCTAAAATGATATCAGTTTCTCTTGCAACCTGTGCATCTTTTAGTCCTTCTACTAATCTCTCATATTCTTCTTTTAATTTATTTACATCATCTTCTCTCATCCTATGATACAAACGTTGATAATGATTATACATATCACAGATATTATAGATTATATTGCATAACGTATAAAGATTCACTCACTCTGCCACTGTCTTTTCAAGTAGCTGTATATTAGCAGAACTTTTCTCCAATGTTCTTCTATTTATTTTTACACTCATTGAATCAATGCACACATTATCTACAATAAGTTCAGAGATTATAATCATTTTTATTTTAACACATTGTTGACAGTATACTGCGAAACAAATCGAGCCTCAGTTCCCGTACATTCTCAGTATATATGTGAATGAAATATAAATGCACCTATTCAAAGAAACGTAAATATTAATATTAAACGAAATCTTGTATTAAAAATTGGTTTTGTACGAGCAAGATGAGATTTGTTGCCTCAAGTCTTCAATGTCTAAAAATTGAACAACGTCAATTTGCGTGTACCGTCTTCTGCGCTTAAGAAATGAAAAATGTTGATTCGCGTCTCCCCTCGACAATGTGTTAATTTTATATGACTAATAAAGTGTAATATACCTATATTGTGAGCTTCATCAAAAACTACAACAGAAGATTTACTTAATTCTTTTGATACAGTTTCAGCAATTTTTGGATCTAATAAATAATGATAACTGTATACCACAATTTGAGCATGTAAAATCTGGAATCATATACGAAAATTAATACTTTAATTAGTACAAAAGCAGAGAAACTTATCTTAAGGAATACTTACTGTAAACCTTGCAAGAAAGTATGGACACCAATTACGATCTCTTCCATATTCCTTTAAATCATCAATTGAATATATGCCAGGTGGCATTAGTTGCTCTTTGCCTTCCATGTCAAATCCTTCGTAAAAATTACAAATGGGAGTGGATTCATCATAATTATGTCTCTCACGAATGTATGATGCTGTGAGAGAGTGACAACGTCCATCGACAATTTTACCTTCTCGTTCTCTGCTTACCTGTTATAGATGACATACTTATATAACATTTAAAATTGATTCTTTTGTATTTTTGTGCATCCTTAAGGTCTTAGTTCAAGTCTAATTCTCAGATATAAATGTATTTTAAAATCATCAAATATAAAAGTGTTAAAAAATAAATACGTTTGACAATTATTACCTCAGGATGAATACACATATTTTTACGTGAGCTAAGCACTAAGCCAACAATTTTAGGCTTAGTTTCAGTTTCTTTTTCATAATACTCCATAAGCTTTTTCAATTCCTCTATAACTTTTTCTATTTCTGGTACAGTACGGGAGCAATAAATTAATTTTGTAATGTTTAATGGATGTTCCAGCATGTACGCTACAATTAATGATAATAAAGTAATTGTTTTGCCAGTGCCTGATGGCATTTCCAATAAACAGTGACCCTATAGTTATAAACAAAATCAATGATAAACATAATTCAAGAGTTGTCAGTAATTGTGGAATGAAAAAATACATAGAATAAATACTTTTGCATCCAAGCCTCGCTTAAGTTCGAGCATGTACGCATATTGTTCTGGATAAATGTAATCGTAAGGGAAATATACTAGTAAACCGTCAACGCTGATTCTGTAAATATAAACAGGTCGTGAGACTTTCTTCCAGGAAACTTAAAAAACACATTAAATGAATATTCATATTTACTTCATATTTTTATATTTCTTCCTACATAAATGTCAATTTTGTATACAGTAATATCATTTATTTATTAATACAATTACGACGTATTCAACAACGCAATTCAACGTTAGATTACAGTTACAACATAACTCAACTGGAGCGCATAAAAACAAATTCACTATGCACTGGTTCATATGTTTTAAGGGTTTTACGGTTTGGTCTTTGGCCAGTCGGCCGGTTCGGCAGTCACGCAAAGCGTTCCTAAAATAATTTTTTTTTTTCATGTATTAAGTAACAAAGAAAATTAACTTTATTTATAAGAAATAGGTATATTATATTATTGGTTTCTAATATTGTTGTATTTTATACATATCCAATTCGCATAAGCAATAACGAGAAATATACGGGGTGTCCTGCAATGAGTGGTACAATCGAAGAGGAGAAGGTATAATGACATTCACTGTGATGTTAAGAATAGACATCGCTTTAACAATAATGATAGACCTCTGATATATCTATTTTACGCCAGACAGGGATGTTTTATTTAGATAAGCGTCATTTATTCTGCCAAATAAAACACTTATGTTAAATCTCCTATCCTTAAATTTCACTACATTTCTTTCTTCCCCGATTAATAACATAATAATAAAAAAAAATTGGTAGGAACTCGGTTTTGAGTTTACTAGGAATGAACTATCGTTTTTAGTTAATACTCTAACGCCGTGCTACGATCTTGAAAAATATTATTGTGAAGGCGTCTATTCTTAATAATGTTAACAAACAATACTGTAAAATGTGCACAAGTATATATCAACATGTTTCAGTTGCTTGTCCTTCGTAGTAATAGTTAAGTATGTCATAACGTTTATTTAATTAAATATGCGTTTACGACATTCTGTTGATAAGACACTTTCTACTCTGACCTCCCTTACAATTTCCCATAAGGAGATCGTCTTTTTCCAGGACACCCTGTATAATCCTTGTTGACCGACGACCACCGACGACCGCCCGAAGCTAGTGATGCCAGAATCACCTCTGTGAAGTTAGCCGGACAACTTTAACTTTTTAACGTTTCATTATACCCAATCGATTGGTGGTCGTTTGGTGGTCATTGATGGCCTAATTAGAACATTTGGTGGTCAAGCGTCCTTTTGTAATCGGCGTCAAACTTATGAAACCTTTATGAAGCTTTGAAGACTGTACGGAAGATTTGCAAGTTACAGAGGAGGGAATTATTTGCGGCATATAAGTTACAATATTTTATAAGCCTAAATAATATCTAAACCTACTTTTTCTGAATTTATATAAATATCATTACAAGTATATTGTAAAATCATATAGATAAGTAGAATCTAAGTAAAATAAGTATCCAAGGGCACCTTTATTGAATCTATACAAATATTATTATAAATATATTGTAAAATCATGTATGTAAGTAGTACTTAAGGCAATTGTTACTAACCTCACTGTCAAATTCTGATCATTTGTTTACAAAAAGAACGCTTGACCACCAAATGTTCTAATTGAGCCACCAATTACTAGCAGGCGTTTCTGCTTCGACTGCGCCTTCGCAGAGTAAAATCGGTTAAGAGATATAAGTTTTATCCACCAAAATGTGTTTTAATATTCCTGTATTCACTTCTCAGCCAATCACAGGTTTCGATGCTTGCCGTACTACAAAGGTACGAATTTTCATATATTCTGCTTTAATTAATGACCACCAAATGTTTCAATTAGGTCACCAATCATTAGCACATTTTTCTACATCGATTGATTCATCCGAAAAGACAATCAATCCAGAAATATCTCTTTTATCAACATTGAACGTGCGTTGGTACACCTGTATCCTGAAATGCCAGATGACTACATCGTTTTTTTCGTTTTTTATAGAAACTAAGTACCACCAAATGTTGTAATTTGGCCACCAATGACCACCAAACGATTACGCATCGATTGAGCATTTAAAAAACTGAATCTGGCGAAAAAAAAAATTTTCGGCTAACTTCACGGTCAAATTTTGATCACTTAATTACAAAAGAACGCGTGACCACCAATTATTCTAATTAGGCCACTAATGACCACCAATCGACCACCAATCGATTGGGTATAATGAAACGTTAAAAAGTCATAATTGCCCGGCTAACTTCTGAAGTTCGGGCCGAAGCTCGAAGCGCTATAGGTAGCATAGCTCCACGAATCTCACGGATATCTCACGATCTCACGCTACGCTCACGATTACGGTACGATACTACGATAGTTCACTGTTCAGTGTTCAGTCCGGTTGTCCAGTCAGTTCAGTCGCTCGACTTTGGTCGATTTGCACATTGAGGATTGTCTCCGTGCTGAGAAAATGGAGCGAACACGGATGTAGAATCTTTTGTATTTATTATTCTAATTAATTTCACGTTCTGCTGCAGTGTCAGTAACTGTGAAATATCTTCCAATTGTCATTTAATAACAACAAATTCAGTCTATTTTTCTAATAATGCATTAAAGTTGTCGTGTGTGCGTATCAAAGGTTACTTGCAAAGTTGTGTAGTGAAAGTTGTTCGTGTCTTTGACCTAATTCAGTTCATTCTCGTCCTTTGGGCATAATGTACATTCCACAATAGGATAAACTCATTATATAATAATAATCACGAAGAATCACATATTGCAATCGGTACGTGAGGGAAATAGAAATTTAAATTGCCGTGATGACGAGCACGGATACACGTGACGTAATCCGAGTTGGGTCTCGGAAAAGCGAGGTAAATGCATAAATATTATTCTTTTTTTCAAGAAGGAGAAAGTCTATTTTTTTGTCCTTGCGCTGCTACTTTTATAACGCAGCCAGGCACGATTTATGCGCCGCTTGGTAATGTCTGATAACAATAATATTGAATAGATAAACACACTGATATTAATCTTGGAAACGTAAAAGGTATAAAGGAAATATTTTCCTTGAAGCCGTAATTAAAGACAGAAAAATATGACGGTCCTTTTTTTTAATTCGCTTAATAACTAAAATATTGTGTACTATTTACAAATGATATAATGCATGATTTGTAGAATGTTATAATTGACGTTTTTTCCAAGGTTTCTGTTACTCAGCACTTTTTAATCAGATACTCTGTACATAGATTAGTAAATCGTTTGTATGTGACTATTTATATACAGGTAGTTATCTTATATTGAATAATGTTCTCTTAATTGGATTCAATATGAAACATCTTTTTCTTAGACAGTGAAGCAATAATGTTATATAATTTTTTTTAATTGAAATATAAGATTTCAATTTGACAAAGTCAACATATATTTCAAATTGTTTCAGTTGGCTTTGATTCAAACAAGACATGTCATACAATGTTTGAAAGAGTTTCATCCAAAAATGGATTTTGAAATAGGTATGCAAAAATTCTTATTTATGAATTCGATTCTTTTTTCACAAAGTACACAAAATATTTGACTAAAAATATTTTATCAAAATACATATATATTTATTCAAGCTGATAAAGAATTAAAGACTGCTTAATGACTTATATAATTAATAATTTATCATGTGTATGCAAAAATCTATACATGTACTTGCATAAGATAATTTATATGTATCATAAATTTGTATATCTATATTTTAAAATAAATTATACCTTATAGTTACAATGTCTACCAAAGGAGATAAAATTTTAGACAAATCTTTACCAAAAATTGGGGAGAAGTCCTTATTTACAGAAGAGTTAGAACTAGCTTTAGAAAATGGCCGTGTCGATTTTGTAGTACATTCATTGAAAGATTTACCCACATCATTGCCTGAGGGAATGGCTTTAGGTGCAATCTTAAAGTAAGTATAATAAAATAAGTAAACTCGTCTTGGAGCAGTTGAACATGCTGCTCATGTCTTGACTTTTCAAAATGGTGATCTGAACATCTGAAATTTAAATTTGCAATGAAATTATCATATTCATGAAAAACGCATGATACTGTGGACGTAGTATGGTTGGTGGTCTGGGTTAGGTAGTAACTGGTTCACACAGTAACTCTTGAATTCACTATTGTTCTTCACATTGTAATGTCAACCCAAGTTTAATAAAAAAGAAACAGCTCCATGATATTTAACATTAAATATATTTCTCCAGCATTATTCTAATATCTTAGAATGATAAGTTTTTAGTTATTTTTACACTGCATATTTTAAAAAAAAATATTATTACAGGCGTGAAGATCCACGTGATGCAGTTGTTATGTCTAAAAAACACAAGGATAAAACATTATCTACCTTACCAGAAGGTAGTGTAATTGGTACTAGTTCATTACGTAGGTCCGCTCAGTTATCAAGGAATATGCCACACTTAAAAGTAGAAAACATTCGTGGTAATCTAAACACCAGATTAAAAAAGTTGGATAATGAGGATGGGCCTTTTGCAGCTATTATTCTGGCAGCTGCTGGTTTAAAAAGAATGAATTGGGAAGACAGAATAAGTCAGGTAATTTTCAGTATAACTGTACATAAAATTGTTACACTGTGTTTCAGGGTCCTGTAACATAGAGATGCTTGCAAAGGTATTCCCTAATAGTGGGGTTACTAAATATTTTGGGAAGAGGGTCGCACAACAAATTTTGTAACTATATGTGCTGCTCAATGTGGAAACAGACTTTGAACAGATGTGTCATGTTTTGTTAAGTTTTGCTTCATTCTTGGAGTCTCACTATAATAAAAGATTATGATAAAAAAAAGTATTCATTCGCACATTTGTGACCAGAATGCAATAAAGAAAAATGTTTTCATTTTCATACCTTTGATAGGTGTATAAGTAAATTCACCATGTTACAAAGTATTCTTTTGTATGAATCTCTTAAAAATTAAACTGGTTATTTTAACCGTATTGATTGTTCGTACGCCATATGAACTAAAAGCTGAAAAGGTTGCGATATGTAGAATATAGAAATTGAGAATTAATGTCAGTAGGCCACTGTTTGTGGGAATCTTATTCTGGTATATTATCTCTACATAGTTGCTTATATTTTCTTTATATTTACAGTTATTAGAATCAGAGGAAACATTGTACGCTGTAGGCCAAGGTGCATTAGGAGTCGAGTGCCGGGAATCAGATTGGAAGATATTATCTCTTTTAGAGCCACTATATGATGTTGAGACAACATTAAGATGTGTATGCGAACGTTCTTTCTTAAAAACATTGGGCGGTGGATGTTCTGCACCAGTTGCAGTTTCCTCAACATTAATGGACAAGGATCTTACTATTACTGGCGCAGTATGGTCTTTAGATGGACAAGAACTTGTTAAGGATACTCTTAGAAGTAAACTTTATATACCTGATGATGATGGTGAACCTCCAAAGTGCGTAGTATAAATTATAATTTTATAAACAAGGGTTTATTAAATAACTATTTACTATTTAACACAACTTTTGTTTCTGTGTTACAGGAAGTGTCCATATCGAGAACCACAGCTTTACTGTAGCGTTGTACCTGGTAAAGTAAGCAGTATAAGTCTACTGGGTGCTAAACAACTTGGTAAAGATCTCGCAAAAAGCCTTATAGAAAAAAATGCTCTTGATGTTATGACAGAAGCTAGAAATGAAATTTTAAATTCAAAATAGAATTAATGAATAGGGTTATAAGAATTAGTTTTTCTTGATAATGAAAGGACATATTGAATTTCAAACATTTACAATACTTGATTCGATTGGTAACATAGATCAGGCAAATTTTATCGCTGATTAGTCCAAAGAACTGATATGCGCAATTTATTAAACTATCAGTATACATTTCGTTTAATTCGAAAGTTATCGTTTCATTTATTACATCATTTTATTGCTTCCATTTTGACTGCTATATCATTAAATAATATTTAAATTCTGTTCTTTTTACAACTATACAAATTTATTCGTATATTTATTGTAAATATAAAATGTTGTACAGAATCTATTAATATTAAACACGTTTTAACTGGAAGCTATACACTGCCATATCCTAATTTTGTAGTGGTGCACAATCTTGAAATGTGTTCTACGATTTTAATGAAACTATGAACACATAAGGATCACTTGAAACTATTCCATACATGTACATACACATCTATTTTTTCTTAGTAAATGCCATTGTCAAGAAAACTAATCATTTTATATGAGTACATAGTATTAAAATGAGATATATTTATAAAATATTATAAAAAAGAATATATAAATTTGTTAAAATTGGATTATATTATTAGACCAATTGTTTAAATGTTGATGACGAGTGTTAAGAAGCACAGTCTTTGTATAAAAAATATTGTGTACAGTTGTGATCACTGTTGTATATTAAGGGGAATAAAAAGGAAATAAAAGAATTGTATATTATATATTGATTACAAAAACATGAAAACACAATGGTCTGTATTATTGAAATGAAACCTAAAATCATCAATTTCTTTGTTCAAAAAGTCTTTAATCTTATAACACATAAAATATAAAAACAAAACAAATTTTTAGATTGCTATTATATACTGAAACTTTATCCTACGAACAAACTAAGTAACATATGCATATGTGAAATTGTAAATACAATAGAGTATTATTGAACTGATTTTTTTCGTTTTATTAATAACATTCAATTTATTTCCGCAAGATACAGATTTTAAGAAAGATGATTTTGCTTGATAGAAACTATGATTTGAAATATGCTTATTGCTTTTAGTTTTATAAGAATAGAATATTCTTTATACAAAAAATAATTATAAAGTGTTCAATATGCTAGTGAGTACCGTTGAAAATAATGTCATGTTACCTATGCTTAAGATAATACATCTATTACAAGGATATTAATTTCATATTCACAAGGTAGAATACATATTTGCATAGATTTGTGCAAATTTCTATAAGATCACATTGTACACGAATTCCTTATTGAAGGAGCAAATATGGTATATATTAATTATTGTGTAAAACTATGATATTTCTATGAAACCAAATGCATTCATTTTCTAGAATTACAGTAATTGTTATACTTCTTAATTAATTCTGTTTTTGTTCGTTTTAACTTGTGAAACACTTAATATGAACAATTTATAGCCACAAAGAAAATCTTGTGTGATTCAAAATTTTTCTGTTAAATATATGTATATATTTGGCTGCCATATTAACTAAATATATATTTCAGCGGCATATTATGAGTAATTATTGTGGCAGTCAAAATGTTCAAATGGCTAATATGTAATTTTAAAATGAAACACTTATATTTTAACAAATTAATACAAAAGTTCTTTCCATTTGATAATTTAAATGCATATAAATCTATCATGCTTTTAATTGATTAATAATATACAATTGTCAACGAGTATGGAAGTTCAATCAAGGAACGCAAGACATACATTAAAAAGGATTGACCAAATTGAAGCCACGCAAATATCTACGTTATCAAAAAAAAAGCATACACTTTCTACTAATGGTTAGATTTTATTTTGAAATACTCAACGCAATTTTTATATTATTTTATTCAACATCTTCCTCAGCCATTGCAATTTGAGATGCTACTTTCTGTAACAATAAGTAAACAACCAAATTTTTTCACATTTCTTACCTTAATTCCAAATTTTAAGATAATACATACCTGACCAACAGCGGGTAATCGTTGCAATAAAAGATGAAATACATGTGGTGGTAGTGTCTTTTGAAGAACTTGCAATAATTGTACTGGTTGCCCACAAATTGCAACTGCATTTGCTAAATGTACAACTCCACCTTCTATATCGCCGTATGCAAGCTTTTCTTCTCCAAGTTGGACCTGCAGAACATGAACATCACATTTAAAAACACAAGCATGATATATACACAATTATCCACACAAAACAGTGGAGACAACATATTTCATACTAACCTCTTGTAAGAAAAATCTTTGTACACCTTCATGATCATTTAAGTGAGGAATTCTTGAACTATCTTTCTGAGCCTGCTTCTTAGACTTTCTCCCTACAAACACAAAACACTCATTAACATTGCACTATTTATGAACAGTACACTGTCAATACATCTTAGATTTTGAGGCTTCACTAATTAAGGTTGCAAAGTCGAATTTAACAAAAATGTAATCTTAAAAGAGAAATTAATCATTTTGCATTAATAATCTAATTTCATCGAAACGCTGCAATTATTTTCATACAAAACTAGCGTGTACAAACATATGCACATGGCTTAAAAATATTTCGAACTAGTATAAGAAAAGTATAGCTTGACTTACGTTCACGCAATTTCTTTTTGAACTCTGGATCACTGCGACGCTTTTGGTCAAAATAAAAGCAATAACCAACGAATATTCCGGCTATGCCAACGGCAATGCCCATTGCAGCCTTTGAAATCATGGTCATTCTTATATATAAATTTAAAGTTTATAATGACGAAATTTACAAACTCCTCATTCCACCTTCGGCCACCCTAGAAAAGGCTGCGTCTGCTATCAAACGCACAGAACTGAGAAGCAGAAGAATCATTTTATCATGTGCTACAGAATGATGCTATAATACAGAGAAATTCCCTAGATCGATAATTGTGTCATAAGAATTTTACAATCTTATTTTACTAAAAATATATGAACTTCAACAAAAATTTAATAATTTTTTCATTAAACGTTATATAATTTTTACATTAACACTTCGTCTCTATATTCCTATGTCTGTACCTATACTCCCTCACCGTGCAAATGTACTAGATAGAGAGGATAATAGGAAGAAAAAGGATAGACACCTCTCATATCTTCTCTTTTCCTCGGACCTCCGTCACCATTCTTTGTTCGCACAGGAGTTCACACTTCAGTTAGTCTAGTCGATGGTAAGAGACCCCATGTGTGTAAAAAAATGGGGTCATAGCACCCCAGGAGCATGCACAAAGACCCCGTGTATGTGAGGAAGTGGGGCCATACAACCCCCGCAGGAGGCGCCAGAGACCCGCGTGGTGAGTACGTGGGGTCATAGAACCCCGGGTGGAGGTGCCAGGGCCCCGTATGGTGAAACGCGGGGTCACAGAACCCCCGCAGGAGACGCCAGGAACCACGTGTGGTGAAATCGTGGGGCATAGAACCCCCAGAGCATGCGCAAGAGTTTTGAAACGTGATTCTTTATCGTTGTTGCTCGTACGAGTCTCAAGTCTCAAGCTCAGTTTAATGTTGCTCGTGCAACTGTCGAAATCTGACTGACACTTGTGTGTGCTTCCGTGAGCAAATTATATAGTAACCCCAGCAACAATGGCAGTTTCTGCAGATACTACTACAGCCCAAATTTAAAAGACGTAGGCAGTAGTTAGTTTCTGTAGTAACCTGTTGAACCAGACAACTATAATTAGTATAGGATTGTACAATATTTATGCAGTTATATTTAAGACAATTCGATGAAATGAAGCTTATATTACCTGACGTATGTTTATTGGAATATACATATATACATATAAATTATAATGATATAAAAGTTTGAAATACAATACGATGCGCTACGGTACAATACGTCTATTCGATTCAATTGCTCCCTTGCGACTACATCATGCTATCCGCGTTCGGCGCAGTGCGCTAATACGGAGGCCAACGAAATATCACTGTAACACTTAAAAAAGTGTTAAAGTTCCATTTATATCATTGTCCTGTGAAAATGTTCATACTTCCATTAGCATTCATATTCCAATCAAAGAATTTACAGAATAAGGAAAAGGAATCTAAAGTAATTTTCAGTAGTTCCATACATCTTTATCTCGAATAAT